TAGGTTCCCCTCTCCTGACTCAAGATCTTATACTTTGGGTAGGTACAATGTACATGTAGGTTTCCCCTCTCCTGACTTAAGACTTTATACTTTGGGTAGGTACAATGTACATGTAGGTTTCCCCTCTCCTGACTCAAGATCTTATACTTTGGGTAGGTACAATGTACATGTAGGTTTCCCCTCTCCTGACTTAGATTTTATACTTTGGGTAGGTACAATGTACATGTAGGTTTCCCATCTCCTGACTTAAGATTTTATACTTTGGGTAGGTTCAATGTACATGTAGGTTTCCCATCTCCTGACTTAAGATTTTATACTTTGGGTAGGTACAATGTACATGTAGGTTTCCCATCTCCTGACTTAAGATTTTATACTTGGGTAGGTACAATGTACATGTAGGTTTCCCATCTCCTGACTTAAGATTTTATACTTTGGATAGGTACATTGTACGTATACAATGTACATGTAGGTTTCACCTCTCCTGACTTAAGATTTTATTCTTGGGTAGGTACAATGTACATGTAGGTAGGACAAATATTTCATAATATTCTACCAAAGAGTGGAAATCTTAAAGTTTAAATTAAAGTCGATTTAAGAGTTATGAAGACTGGTCACCTTACAACACCTAGACATTGATATATGGCTCTAAGGTTATTTTTGTGTAATTTCTTTTAATCTTTTGTTCTAGACCAGGATACCATAATGCTTTAAGCTTTATAGTCATCACTGATATTTAATATTGTACTTTAATAGATATATATAGGCATATTTTATGTATAATTCTGCTTATAATGACTTGCTTTCTTACTTTGGCAGTCTACATGTTGATAGTTAACCATTTTCTTTCTTTTCTGTAGTGTATGAACCCTGTGATCCTTAACCCTTAACCTTTCCTTGTAGTTTCAGCTGTTTGCTACATTGTACATCTACTTAGTTTAAACATTACTGCATGGAGAACATATCACAGTGCATTATGGCATAAGGAACACTAGCTACTAAGTTCCACAATGGGAACAGTTGGATCTAAATAATGCAGCAGCAATGATTCATCTTTCACTTTTGTTTTCCCAATTTGCATCACACATATAAATATACTTATATCGAATTACTATTTGTAAATTAGTTATTATGTCAAGTGTTACTAAACTTATAATTATTTCATAATAAGTAAAAATAGTTCTAAGTACTAATTATATATAAATATGATAATTTATCAAATTAAAGTGCATAAGTTATTGTTTGTTCAATAATTTCCTAGTCCATATCCAAAGTAACATGCTGGAAAGTTTATGCCAAGAACTAGTAAACATACAAAGTGCACATCCAACAGAATGATTTTCACCTAAATATTTCTTAATAAAAGATTAGCCCCATTGCAATAAACCATTTGTCCGAATTGTCAGATTAAAATCATACACATGAAAAAGAAACTATTTCCATTTCCCCCAAAAATATTGACAAAGGGCCAACAACTACATCATATATTATACATATTTGGGTCCTCAATGCTCTTCAACTTCGTTACTTTATTTAACCTTTATAACATGTCCATCTATGTCTATTTATCAATGAAATACATGCGGCTTCATTCATACAACCGAACAACAATATGACTATCACAACTTTTTGTTTGTGTAAAAATAATTTGAAATAACTAATTTATTTCATTTCATATTCTCAACCAAAAAACATATTGTTAAGACAAATTGCAGATAAAAAGAATACTGGAATTTTATTTTTTTATACAGACTTCATCAGCTTGATTGAATATCATCACATCCTAGAGGGATCGCTTGATATTCTTGCTGATAAAGTCAGTATCAAAATTAGAAATGCCATTATTCTATATGTAAAGGACTTTCTTTATCAAAAGAAATTACATCATTTTCTATTATTACTGTCAATTACATGTTACAAAATAAAATAAAATATTTAAAGAGAAATAAAACATTATGCTGCTCAGTGTAATTTACATTAGAAATTTAGAACTTCACAAAAGCATGATTCCTAATGTTATGATTACAGTTTTTTTTCTACATTGTAGATGAAAACTTGTATTGAGCATCAAAAAATTTACCAGATTCTTTTATTCAGTAAAAACTATTCAGTAATACAGGCATTTCTATCACAAGGAATTTTTTTTGGTAGAGCTGCATGTACATGAAAATTAATCAATGAATGATTTTTTTTCAAGGAGAAATTTAAAGTTCCCATTGAACTAACTCCACTGATAACAATATCTACTGTATTTACCTATACAGAACATTTGCACTTTTTGATATATAGGACAGGTTAAATGTTTAAAAATACTTTTATATCCAAAACACAGTACATCCATATATTTATATTCAGCTTAAAGTTGTCTTTTTCTTTCTTTAATGGGGGGCCTGATGGGTTATTTTCATTCTTCGTGATCGGCGCATTTTCGCTATCGTGATCCGTTTTTCTACAGATTTTTTTTTTTTTATATTTTCGTGATCCGTGATCATGGAAATTTATTTTCTGTGAATCGTGATTGACAAAAAAATCAACTCGTGAATCGTGATAAATTCACGTAACCATTGTACTTTTAAAATCATTGACATTACTGTTCGTAATAAAAAAAGATTAATCTTTAGTAATCACAAAGTGTATTCATTCATTATAACAACCAAGACTCTTTCTTCAAAGTCAACATGCACATGAACAGCAGGTGGTTAAAAAATCAAATAAATTTGGTCTTCACAAATAGTGAAAGAGTTAATATAAACTTGCTATGATGGTAGAGTTCCTCTGGCTTTCCAAAACGATCGAAAAGCACAAGAGGAATATAAGTTTCTTCTTTTAAATCCATGAAATGTGAATAGTATAAAATCTGCTTGAAGGATTTAAGGCAAAATTTGAATGTACCATCCATAGAAATGTTGTTTTTATCTATCGATTACCTGAATAAAATGTTTCTGATAATGATTGTGTGGTCAGTACAGGACAACTTTCAAAGAACTTGTGTGAAAATCTTCCAGCCTTGACCCTGGTAAATTTGGTTTTGTTTACAGGTAAACGGTCAATTTATTTCAGGTGTATTCAAGTTTATAATGTTTGGAGAGCAAATGTCCTTTCGTCATACTGGTAAAAAAATTACAAACATCCTCTCCTATGTATTTATTCAATGGGACAGTTCAATTACATGTAGAAAATAATTTTATAGCCACGTAAACACCAACTATTTCTAGGGGAAAGTTTTATGTATTTCCTTTACAATAATTAATCACATCAGTTTCTTTTTTCAATTTCCCTTAAGTTGATCTACTACACAAATATTATAAAGATATAGACTTGATATTAAGCAGCAACCTAGATTTCAATAAAATGCTCCGCTGGGGGCAGCTTGATACAACCGCAGAGGTCGAACCCTGAACAGTTGGGGCAAGTATACTTATATAAGTTAATTATAATGTTTGAATAATCTCCCCTTAATTTTCTAAAAAATTTACTTGTATAAGTAAATTTTTTTAACAATCCCACAAAAATTCTCAAGTTTTGAGATGTAAAATCATGCCATTAACAATTTTTCTCAGGTTAGCTCATAATTTTTTATAATAGTTCAATGTTTCATCTCATTAATACAACAAAGAAACTGATTGGGCAAAGATCTTAAGTATTTGCTCAAGGCCATCAAAAATTGCTCCTTGGAGGCTTGTAAATGAGCAGTGTTCTGAAGATAACAGACAAATGAGATTTTCATTGTCCATGAAATTACATTTAAATTATTAAGTTAAAGACATCTGCAAAGGACAGACAATTCAAAATTCTGTTAGAGCAAAGAAGTTCTAAGAATTCAAGAATAGAAGATAGGATGACTTTTTTACTTGTATAAGTAAAAAAATCTGAATGTCTAAGGGACATAACTAGGCCAAAAAATAATTTACTTATACAAGTAAATAAAATACACTTGTATAAGTATCCTACAAATTAACTTATATATACTTCAAGTAAATAAAGTAGTACCCCTGACTGAAAATTTTGGTTTCTGTTTCGCATTTGTTCTGTTCAAAGTATTGTTGTTTTATAATTTCGTTCTATTGTGTAAACACTGGTATGTATATGTTCATTTGTAATTGTCATTTGATGATAGTCAAATGTCTGGACTTTATTTCAATAAAAATTACTTACTTACTTACTTTTACTAGAAAATTATTTTCACACTCGAGTTTTTACATATTTTTTTTTTTAAATCAGTATAATTTTATTCTTTCAATGTGCATTTACATTTAATTTCTAATTTTTTATCATGTTTTCATTTACATGGACTGTACAGTTTTATTTCTTTAGTGTGCATCTAATTTGCAATGTTTAATATGTATTTTTAACTAATAAATACAAATAAAAAAATATTATTTTCCATTCTCTTCACTGAATTCACAAAATCCGCAAATTACCGATAATTTGCGTTTATATTTCACGTGTCATTCCCGCTCCGATGACATTTAATTTTAAAACCATAATCGGGTACGCGTAGCCTACGAATGCCAATTTGGCTACTTGTCCTTGCATGCGGGGTTGCGCAGACACTGCCTTTCAGAAAATGAAGAAGTTGCTAGATTGATTCCTATGAAAATCAGCATCTTCCAAGGGATTAAAACTTAAAACAATCCAGAATTCAGAAAAGTTGTTAACCAAAACTTGTTGCCTTTAAAGATATCACCCAACAAAATTTTTTAGCACAGTAAAATTATATCCCATTTGGATATTATAAACCATTTGGCAGATAATCCCAACCTGTACAAAGCAAAAGTTCATTTCATATTGCTCATGACAGGTACCAATATGACCTTTTGTCATTGGATTGAAACTGATAAATCAATTTGCCTCTTATGTTTACTGAAATATTCAATCAATATTATATAATTACTGTTGGCATCATTGTATTAAGTCCTAAATTTTGACACTGTCGCTTAGTTATAAATGAAATCCAGCTATTAAAAAAAGTGTTAGTACGTAATCATTACCAAAATACTTACCAAAAGAACAATTTCGATATTGGATTGGTGGTGAGGGTCGGGTTTGGATTATAATGTTTCAATGTTTCATCCATGGTCACTTATTATTCCGTTCAACCACAGTATAAGATCGTCTTTCAACACATGTTCCACATCAATGATTGCATAACCAAACGAAACCGCAACACTTTCTAAGAGCGTAGGATTCCAGATGAAATAAATCGCACAACTGACAATGATGAAAAGATAATCTCATAAAATATTAGCGTCACAAAGAAAAAGATTTTAAATTTTGTATACGTCAGTATTGTTTGATTTTAAAACATAGATTAGAAAATTAGTATTTCACGATATGATATGATAAAGTTGTATTCACTACACTTTGTTTACATTTAGAGATTATGCAGTGAAAGCGCCAAATTTTGAACTCTGTCGAAGGACATAAAAATTACAGTAGTGCCAGTAGTGGTCAGTCTACATAAATTAAGGGTTTGCTGCTGATTTCCCAGACTTAGTGGGATATACAATAAACTGTCCCATTGTAATTAACATTTTTTGTAGATACCTTACATAATACAATTTGAATCATGAATGACTAATCTTCAATAATTTATTGAAACAATGTCAATGGTATCAGTTACATCAGAAGTCCATTACTAGGGGAAGTGTGCAAGCTGTACTATAAAAACGATCACACTGTCCCTGTTATCATTGGAAAGCGCTATAGGTGGTCCTACAAAATATAGTTTTTCAACTATGGAATCATGCCTTCATGGGTAGAAATGTTATATTATCATCAAACAGATAGCTGTGAACTGAGACTACTATAACACATATGTGTTATAGTCTCAGCTGTTAATTAGTCTCCTTGAGTGTTTGATTAATTATCAGCTTGTTGAAAGTAAAATGAGCCAACTTAGTGCAGTAGTTTCTTATTGCCATTTATTTAAAACTTCATTTTCAACATTTAGAGGTGCCCCGGTGGCTGAGTGGTCTAAGTAGTCAAACTATTGTATCACTAGCCAGTCAATGCTGAGGTTGTGAGTTCGAATCCCGTCTTAATTGACTAGGATTGTCAGTTTTCCTACTGAAGGTCTGTGGTTCTCTCTGGGGACTCCGGCTTCCTCCACCAATAAAAACTGACCGCCACGAAATAGCCGATAGTGTTGAAAGTGGCGTTAAACATCAATCAATCAATCGATCAGCATTTAGAAAATGATATAAAATTTTATAAAAGAATACATTCGTACCATGGCCATTTATCATTAAATTGTTCTTGAGATAATTGAAAACTATAAAAACTATATTAAATCTGCTTTGACTAAAAATTTATTGTCTATTTAAAGGATATAGTTGTTTTTGTCAAAATATAGTCATAATTGCTTCCATTTTTAAATAGAACGCTGTGTTGACAAATTATGTCTCGGTTTAATATTTACGGCATCAAGGAAGCTAGCTATATACTGTGATGTATAAGCGAAAGACAGGTTTCTTCTTCGCTAGTACAGAAATTAATACATCTGTCAAAAATAACCGAATATTTGTTGCTGCAGCTGGCTTCAAAACAATTTCGAATTTCAACAGTCTCTTGTTTTTAATCTATTTTAATGTAAGAGGCATATATTTTACTCCTGTCTATCTGTCATTACGCTCTCCCTCATAAGATGTGCTTGAGTCTTCAATGCAACGTCCCTATGGTTCTTTTTTAGGTCGTTTTATAAACACAAGACTGAAGACACCTCAGGCCTGAATATCATTCAGATTTAAGTTTTGATTTATCACGTGTTGACTGCTTAACATTCAGTGGCAAATATTTTATGCACATCACATCAAAGAGTTGTCACAAGCGTTATTTAACATGCAGCGAGCGTAACATTCATCCTGAATACACAAGGTTCTGGAATTAAAGTCCCTCTTCCGACCTGACGTGGCTGCTATTTATACATCCCACGCTTGTAAGAAAGTGGTTTACTGTGTGAACTGGACAATTCCAGGGATAACCATATTTCTATACCCAACTCAATCCTTGAGATTTATTTAGTACTCGAACAAATTAAATCAAATTGTCTTACAGTAAGACTTTATCATAATCAAGTATGAAGAGTACTTACATTAACATTATATATTCATTACTTATTTGTTTACAAAGATCGTGAACGAACTTGTCCTACAATTTTAATCTATAACGTTTCAACACACGTGTTGTTTTTTTAACATGTATTTTAACAGATAAATGTTACAATATCCGACTGAAATGACAACCTTTGTCAATCCACACCATTATCCTAGGTAGAATTACCGTCAAGATCTTACGCATGATTGAAGATATTTGAAATGGAAGAAAGGGCATACTCTTAATGTTTTCTCTCTTTATTTTCAAAATTGAGGGTAAAATTTGTTAATTTTGCTAAAAATGGATATATCTGCAGAATTTCTGTTCAACTTTAAAACAAAAATTCTTATTTCTTAAAATTTGTAAAACATAAAATACATACTTAAAATAAACATAATTTAATGTTTTTTCCTTTTAAACTCATTCCTAATTTAGTGTTACTTGTACTGTATATGGATGCACAATTTTCTGACCTAACTTTTCAATGGCAAATTTTTCAAACTAAACGTGAATTGTAGTAAGAAGTAAGCATTTTTTATTCCGACAATAATAATTGTAGTTTTTAAATTGATAAATAATACCAACATTTTAACATTAAAACCATCACCATGACTCATGTCCTGACACTGTTATAATATGGTAACTAGGGTCTGCTATTCATTAATATGTCGATGGTCAAAAATTATTTTCAACTGTGTGCTAATTGAGTTAAAGGGTGTTTTGCATAAATTATCTCTATCCAGAATGCATTGCAAAAACTGGCCATTGATTTTTGTTACTATTATTAGAAATCTCGCTCAAATCCTGTTTCAATCAGTTGGAAGTACAGGGACAGTGTGATCGCCTTACTATATAGAAGGTTGCACTCTTCCTCTAGTAATGGACTTCTGGTTACATTCAATATGTTTAATTCCAATTGTTATCTTTGTGTCAAATAGTTTGATTTAAGGTGACGTTATATGATGTCATCTGTGGGTTTGTTGGGCATAAAATCTGCATCAGTAAGTTGAGCAAAGGGATGAATATACACCAATCTTGAGTTGTTCTTTTATGAATGAGTTACACCGGTTGACCCGAGGTCAATCAGCAAAAACGACTGCACAGAATAATCAGTTCTTACTGTGACGTTATAACAAAAGCATTGTGACATAGAAATTTACGGGAAAGTGCACGAATTTGAAAGTTGTCTATTCTAATGGGGGATAATTTCCTTATGACTGCTCAGATAAATGTGTTGAATGATAAAATTAATATATTTCTTTAGGCAGGGTTGGACTATGTACATAAGGATAAAGACAGGTATTTTAAAAATGACAAGCAGGCACATTGACTTTGTTGGCTAAAAAATGCAGGGATCCAGTTGGCCCATAAAACATTTAAATGACATAAGAAATCATCATATATAAAAGAGTTTTTCTTGTAATGGAAATGATATGAATCATACGTATTGGATAGAGTTGGGAATTGGTCAGATTTTTCAGATGTTACACTCAATGTTTGTTCAGCAGTTATTTAAAGGTCTTGTTCTTATCTTAAAGATAAAAAGTGACTAAATATTAAAGCACATTCAAATGCTTCAAAATCAATACAGTTCAGCTCAAGAATAAGCAACTCATATGCTCATTCTGATTGCAAATGTCACTTTTAGGTATGTTTTTGATAATCCTCAAAAATAAACCTGCCTGTCTGGCCTACATATAAAGCCATGACTGATGATGACTCAGGTCGAAAAGAGACAGAAAATTTTATATTATGGAAATAAAATTAAATTGTGCTATGGTTTTGAAATGATATTAAAAGTTTCTTCTGATATAGTAGTCAGATTTTATCAATGGAATAGGCAATGTGATAAACACTATATGAAATCCAACAACTCCTTTTGACACCTTTAAGAATTGAATGCTACTTTCTGTCATTTTTTGGGATGTAAAAGTGTTTACAGTAATACAGAGGCAAATTTTGTAAGAAGAGTGGAAGTGCTTCATACTGAAAATGTGTGCATGATCAACACGTTTAAAACGCTATAAATTTACAAAAAGAAGTTATACCAGGTATTTATTTCATTTGTTTTCCAATGCATTGAAGTGACGTTGTCATTGGAAGCATGTGTAGTCATGAATGTTGTTTTTATTGCAAAATAAAATATCATTTATGAATGTCTTGTCATTGCTGTCAGCCAATCAAAAGAACAGATTATTATGAAACATACAAGCAATGTAATTATATCCAATATCATATATTAGATATGGGTCATATAATAAGAAATTTTGTGCATATGCTGATATTGACTAGAATTTTTTTTTAAACTCTTCCTAATTAAAACTTTTTGCTTGAAAATTTTCTAATAGATAGTTGAAAAAAATTCCTTATTTGATTCTCTGACCACTTAATCTCCCCTGGAGAGAAAGATGAGAAAAACATAATGAAAGCATGCATTTTATATATATTAATACATAAAAATGATTGATTTTTAGAGATTTTGTCATTATGTCTGAAGAAAGAAACAGAAAGAGAAGTTTGTCATCTCAAGACGACAAAGAAACAAGAAAACGGAGAAGTATTTGTGAAGATAATCAAGAGGAAAGAATACCTGCAATAACAGTGACATCTCCATCATTTTTAGAAGATGCTTATGGAAATTCTAATATTAATACAAAAGACGAATTATTAGTGAAAGAAACAACAGAAAAAATTGAAAACATTGACCTGCATGAAAACAAAAAACAAAATTTATCTGACTGTGATAAAATCACTTTTAAATCACCTGAAAATGTTTCTAAGTCATGTGAAAGTGTTAGTACTAGTATCTCCACGAATAATCCACAAAATATTCCAGTTGAAACACCTGCAACCAAATTTGTGTCAACAGAAGTCAACAGAAGTAAAGGTTAAGATAATTTAACAACTTGTTCCAACTTAAATTTGAGCAAAATGGTTTTTGTACACTTTTATTTTTAAAATTTGTTTACCATAAATAGATTCAAAAGACAAGTCACTTGATTCAACAGTTAGAGAAAAAAATTAAAAAAAACAAAAAAAAGTATATATTTCATACTATACATATACAAGATTCTCATTGTTTCTCTTAAAGTGAGATGATTTTTTGAAAACCGAATACTGGTACATACATCTGTATTTTATTTAGTTTATGTGGTTATTGAGCATAGGAAAATAGTGTCTTCCATGCATCCATTCTATGGATCCTTTACTTGAATGGTCCTCTAACAGTATTTAAATTTTTCAGCACATAAAACAATGGCGTCTGTGAGTGACAGCGTGTTTTCTGAAGGATCTGTACTGAGAAGTGTAAGTGAATGTGATAGAGATGAATCAGATGAGGATCCACTAGAAGAATATGAAACACAGTATTTTGGATTTACACCAAAATCTTTCATGAATGGAGGTAATACTAGCTATGAATTAATGAAGAAATCATGAGCCTTTCATTTTATTTTGAAGTACTGAAAGATAAAGATAGAGATAAAACTAAAAGAAGGTTTAAGATGTCAATTGAAGGAGATCAATCATACAGTAGTTGTATGTATTGTAAATTCAGAAATTATTGCGATGTTTTTATTAATGCGAATATTGCAACTGAGTGAGTATCGCAATAATAAGAACTCGCATTTTGATATCTGACACAATATTTTCCTGAAATTGCAATAATTAATCTCTCATTTCTGTCCATTCTTCAAAAATCACAATAATAAATAAACACAATAATTTCTGAATTTACAGTATTTGATTTAGCTGTTTCCAAAGAAAGAGAAAGTTTACAAGTTTGACTTTTAAAGTTGAAGGAATTTCTTGTTAGACTAGTGACATTTATTGTTGTGTTACATCACTGTCATACGTTATAAGGAGTCTGTAATTCAGTGATTATCAATGGCTGCTGTACATGTATGAAATATTTGTTTTTCATTTATTGTTTTGTCATGAATTAGGCTGTTGGTTTTCTTGTTTGAATTGTTTCATATTTTGTCATGTTTAGGCATTTTATTATATAGCCTACTTTACTGTATGGGTTTTGCTCATTGTTGAAGGCCTCACTGTGACCCATAGTTGTTACATCCCCATCATTTAAACTCATTATTTCTATATTCTATAGATCAGTACAGTAAATGTTAAACCTTCACCGGACCAAATAATAAACTTATTTACACTTTTGGTATTTAGCTGAATTTTGTCTCCGAATGACCTTAGATCTGTTCCGAATAACCTTCTGACGTCAAGCAACAATCATTTTTTAATTGTGACATCAATTTTGACCGGATTTTGGAAGGAAAAATCGGTTATTTATTTGGGGATGTACGGCGGGCGGCTGCCAAACAGTGTCCGTTCATTAACATGAAAACGCTTTGACTTCAAATTTAGATATATTGTTTCCTGTGACTAAATGAAGGTCAAGTTCAATTTTCACGATTTTAGCTTTTCTCGTTGTTGAGTTGTAGACCTTTCAGTAGCGAAAAGTGATATTTATTATATGATTTATTTTTATTTGGAGATATTTCCCTTTGAACAGAAATGGTGTAATTAATAAAGTTCTATATGGATAGATAGCCTATCAATGATTGTATATGTTCAATTGATTTTAGTCAGGAGTTTCAAAAATTTCTTTATAACTATTTTTTTAATGTCATGTGTGTTTTGAAGGTAGATGTCACAGTTGTTATGTGATATTTTATTTTTGTTGGTGTTGGTGTTAATGTTTAATTTTTACTTGATCCTGTTTGGGGGTCCAGATTTGCAAATATCATTTTCATTAGATTATAATCGATTTTTATTAAAGGATATATTCCATTACATTACATTGTGTGGATAAAGTTGTTGACATTGATAGATAAGTTGCAGATATTAGTTTGTGACAAATGAAAGAAAAAATATTGGGAACTATTAATTTTATATATAAATAGATATAAGAAGATGTGGTATAAGTACCAATGAGACAACTCTCCATCCAAGTCAAAATTTATAAAAGTAAACCATTATAGGTCAAAGTACGGTCTTCAACATGGAGCCTTGGCTCACACCGAACAGCAAGCTATAAAGGGCCTCAAAAATTACTAGTGTAAAACCATTCAAACGGGAAAACCAACAAAGTTTGATTACACTCAGTGTTTTTAAGATAACAAAGCAATGTGGTAATTATCAATCGCAAAATTATAATTGGAGTGACAGATTTATTTGAAATTTTTTGGTTTCGTAAGTGTTGTTGATGATAAGCTCTGTAGGACGGTATAAATTTAGTTTGAAATTTACTGTTCATTATCAGACATTTTGAAGATAATTACAGATAAGTTTTATAGATTTTTAAAAGACATTGTATTAATGATAAATAATATTTTGGATTATTTTTTCTTCTTTTCTTTGGTAAATTGTTTGAAGAATTTTGTGGTAGGTTTGTTTGTTATTCTGTATAAACTAATTTTCTGAATGCTATATATATATTTTTTTTGCTTGATCCTGTTTGGGGGTCCAGATTTGCAAATATCATTTTCATGCAGGAAAATCCGGTTTGCTGTCACTCTGACAGGCTCTTGTTTTAAATTGTGATGTCAAATTTTATGGGAACTTGTGTGATTTTACGTAATGGTGGACAAATTTGCATACAAGTGTAAATACTTCTATTCTTCACTGAACTTAAACAATTATTCTGATGATCCTTAAATTTGTTCTTGATGTCTGGTCCAGTAAAAAATTTTGTTTGACTAAAGATTCGAAGGGGACAATAAAAAACCATAATTTGAAAAAAGACAAAAAAAATGCCTTGGCCAAAAGAAATAGTTAACAATCAACTTAACACTACACAGATAACTTAACATTGAGCAAAATGAGCCTCACCAAAAAAAAGAATGGTGAACTCAGGTGCTCTAGAAGGATCAGCAGTTCATACTCCACTAGAGACATCTGTCATGACCTGACAAAATTTACTAGATCTTTGGCATGGTTTACCTTGCTGTCAAAAAGATTTTAAAAGGCCAGTAAGAATAAATTTTTAGAAATTTTTAATGTAAAAGTGTTTTCAAGATGTACTGATTTAATTATTATAATGTAATTGTATTACTTTGATAATTTCAGTGTATAATGCATTAGCAGAGTATATCAGAGAAAGTCTGGCTGCTCTAGCAGAATATATAAAATCCCAGGTAAGACTAAATATTTTCTAAGATGATTTTGCGAAAGAAATTTATTTGAAAAACTATAATTAAATATATATATATATATATATAATTTTTTTTTTTTTTTTTCGTAATACTTTTTACATGTAAAATTGTTGCCTTTTTATGTTATTATAATTAGATGTATGTTTTAATGATAGTGTCTCATAAGTAGTTTTTGGCTGGCATCCTTTTATTTAATATTAGGTTCTTATGACTTTGCGTATGTATATCATATATATAGATATTGTTATGGATGTTGTCAATTTAATAAAATATAATAATATCTTATTAAACAATGAAAATTTTTAGAGTTAAGCGTTTTATGGTCACCACCAGATATCAAATTTGGCAAACTTTTGTCTCAGATATTTACCATTATTAGTTATGAACCTTGGATGTCAATGTTTAATCTGTGGATCAATACACATACATGCTTTGATTGCATTTGTTTGTCAAATGTTGTTTATAGGATAAAATGATGTTTGTTTGATGAAATTTCAACATGGGAGGTAACTCTTCGTTCTTTTATAGTATCCAAATGAAATGACATCCACTCAACTGCAAGAAGGAGAAGAAAATATGATGAAATATATCTTAAGGAAGTTAAACAGATCTTTTGATATTTTAGAGGTAAGATCATGTTAGATTTATCCCACAAGGTCAATTGACAGATGGTATTTTTAATTGTTAATTTGTTATCACTTCATTTGCACCTTGATAGATCCCTTTTCTCTTGCAGAATCCCTTTCATTTTTTGTCAAGCCTGCGACTTCTGTTGCAGAAAGCTCGACAGGGATAGTGATCCGGCGGCGTTAACAAACTTCTAAAAAGCTTAATATTTCAGAAGGTAGAAGACCTGGATTCTTCATACTTTGTATATAGATGCCTTATGTTATGAAGTTTCAGCCTGTCATATGTCCATTGTCCTTGACTTCATTTTCATGGTTCAGTGACTACTTGAAAAAAAAGTTGATTTTTAGTATTCTTATTTTCTCTCTTATTATGAGTTATAGGATAATTATATTTGGTATGTGCGTACCTTGCAAGGTCCTCATGCCTGTCAGACAGTTTTTACTTGACCTCGACCTAATTTCATGGATCAGTGAACAAGGTTAAGTTTTGGTGGTCAAGTCCATATATCAGATACTATAAGCAATAGGTCTACTATATTTGGTGTATGGAATGATTGTAAGGTGTACATGTCCAACTGGTAGGTGTCATCTGACCTTGACCTCATTTTCATGGTTCAGTGGTTAAAGTTAAGTTTTTGTGTTTTGGTCTTTTTTTCTAATACAATATGCAATAGGTGAACTATATTTGGTATATGGAAATATTTTACGTTGTACATGTCACTCTGGCAGGTGTTATTTGACCTTGACCTCATATCCACGGTTCATTGCTCAGTGTTAAGTTTTTTGGGGTTTTTTTTTGTCCTTTTTTCTTAACTATAAGCAATAGGTCAACTATATTTGGTGTATGGAATGATTGTAAGATGTACATGTCCAACTGACAGTGTAATCTGACCTTGACCTCATTTTCATGGTTTAGTGGTTAAAGTTAAGTTTTTGTGTTTTGGTCTTTTTTTCTAATACTATATGCAATAGGTCAACTATATTTGGTGTATGGAAATATTTTACGATGTACTTGTCAGTCTGGCAGGTTTTATTTTACCTTGACCTCATTTTCACAGTTCATTGCTTAGTGTTAAGTTTTTGTGTTTTGGTCTGTTTTTCTTAAACTATAAGCGATAGGTCAACTATATTTGGTGTATGGAATTATTGTAAGGTTTATATGTCTGTCTGGCAGGTATCATCTGACCTTGACCTCATTTTCATGGTTCATTGGTCAATGTTAAATTTTTATGGTTAATTTTGTTTCTTAGATACTATAAGCAATAGGTCAACTATATTTTGTGTATGAAATGATTGTAAGGTGTACATGTATTTCTGGTTTGGTTTATCTGACCTTGGTCTCATTTTCTTGGATCATGTTAAGTTCATGTGATACTTGTAATAAAGCTTTATATTTAGGACTATCAACATAAAAGCAATGATCAGTAAAGCAGGCGAGACATTTCAGTGTGTGCACTCTTGTTTAAAAACAGCTTGCTTTTTATAATTTTTATGTCCTTAAACATGTAGTTTTAAAAACATACGAAGGGAAATATCTTAAGCAAAAAATTGAATTTTACAGGCATATTGTGATATATGATATAAGATAAAAGTATAAAAGTGTAACTGCTGCAGAATTTGTGCTTATGAACTAAACACCTTATATTCCATACTATGTTATAATTTACATTAGAATATAACTGAGGAAAAAAAATGTATTTCATAATGCTTTAAAATGATATGCATAATCACATAAGTTTGAGTCTAAGCAGCATGGTCACTTTTCCTTTTGAGTAAAAATTGAGTGTAAAATGTTGAATAATTTATGCTCAAAACCTATGTTACTTATATTTTATGCATTGTTTTAGTTATAAAAAAAACTCCCTCAAGCAATTAATTAGTCTTTTTTGCTACAAACAATTAGTGGCTGCAATAAAAAATGAAGCTACCGTTAGTAGAATATTCATAAAAATTACTGAAAAAACTGCTTTAAAATTTTTATCAAAAATGTCTGCCTCTTTTAAAGCTTTATTGTCTTTAAAAATCCAAAATATCATCATTCTGTATAAACAAAGTGACCAAAATATCAACAGAACTAAATCTTTGTATTAATGATATGCATAACTTCACATGGTAAAAAGTATGCTTAGAAAAATAAGGAGATGTGGTATGATGGCCAATGAGACAACTGGTCTATCTACCTGTTCAAATGACGTAAATATAAGCAGCTATAGGTCACTGTATGGCCTTCATCAATGAGCAAACCCATACCATTTACAGTTATATTCCAGTCAAACTTCTTTAGAACAATTCACAACAAATGATTAGCTCACAGATGCCCCTTATAAAACCATTTCTACCAGAAATAGCGGATTATATCATGCACTGAACTCTTTTTGAATTATTAAGACTGTAGTACTATAACATGATTTGAAATTATACTCTGATCTTGCACATTATTTTTCAGCAATATTTAATGACAAATGTTTTTAAAATCCCTGAACATGTTGTATTACCCGAAGATCAAGCACAAGCAGGCAACCAGTATACTACAGAAGATGAAAAACAAATTGATCTAGAAATTAAACAGCTTGAGGACAAATTACTCACAGTATGTATCATCTGATAAGGACAAAAAAAAGAATATGTGTATTTAAGAGTTTCAACCTTATTATTTTCTTATGAGGATTTCTTCAATATAATTTCATCAGCATATCAGTTGTTGAAAATGCTAACTATGTGCAGCAGAATTGATCAAACCACATTAATGTTTGTCGTTCTTTTGTATGAATTATTGCAAATGTGAACTTCAAGCAAACTGTTATGTATTCATTGAAAACACATTATTTTCAGGTTTTCCAGCTGGTGGCTATAACAAAACAAACATGACCGTTTTGATATATGTTAAAATAAGGGTCTAACAATAAGGATGTAGGAGATCTATAGTTTTCACTTAGTCAGTCCATATGTCTGTCCATCCACCAATAGTTTTATGAGCAAATTATCTTTCCTTATTGCTGGGACTAAAACTAAACTTAACAAAGATATTTAATCAATTGCACCCATTCTGTGCTGTAACTACACTAGAAATGATTTCAAAAGCAATTATTATTTTTACCTATAATGCCCTGAATTCTTTTTCAAAAGTGTCAAATCTGAACTCGGTTGATAGTTGGGACTACTATCTTGTGATTCATGGTCCATATACTGTTAATTCAGAAATTATTGCATGCATCTATTATTCCGATTTTTGAAGAATGAACAAAAATGTGAAATTGATTATTGCAATTTCTGGAAAAGCTGCATACAGATATATGTATCTATATCAGAATGCAGGTTCTTATTATTGTGATACTCACCCAGTCGCATTATTTGCATTAATAAACACCTCGCAATAATTTCTGAATTTACAGTAATCTTATTGTCCCCCAATCAACGCATCCATAGGTAAATCAGAAAGATGAGGAGTTACTATATGGCCAGGTCAGTTCAGGTCAACTATTGCACTCTTGAACATTTTGACCAACTAGGTCTCCAAGCAAGACAAGGAATTCAAATACAATGCAAGCCATAAGGATGGACTGTAGATTGATGTGATGTCTGAAGGGTTTTTTTAGCACTTGCTGGGGAAGAAGGAGTCAGAGACCAGCCCATATAGTAAACTTGTCCACCAAGACTTGGTGCGTCAAGATTCTGTCAGGAATTTGAGATAGATGCATTTTCAGGTAGATTAATCATGCACCGTTCGATTCCTCATGTTACAACTGCAAACAAAATAGGGGGATGGTTACATTGTTAGATCTTAATATGTAAATGTGTATGAGGATAGGATCAATCTAAAATGAGCTCAATATAATTTCAGATAAGATATGCAAATGGTATACTTCGACAAGACCTTGCAGAGATGGATCAAGTACAGTCTATCTTTGATAAGTCCTTTAAACAGCTAGAAACTTTAGAAGAAATGACCAGCCAATGTGGAAGTAAGTTTAATTACTATGTATTTGTTGTACATTTCATTTGGTATTTGTACTATGGGTGATTCCATTACAGTCATTGACTTGATGGTAATTTCTTAAGGAGTAAGTCCTTAGTTAAGGATGTTCGCTGCTCTTGTTTTTGACTTTTTGTCAGATTATCAGATAATCAGAATCCTCTAGTTAAAAATCTAGAGAGAATCATTTCCCGCCAAATTTTCAATGGCTTATATCTCAAAAAATAAGGACACAATCCTTTCATTTTTTCTGCTTTTTAAGTTCAGTTATATAGTGTATTTAACTGGCTGTTTCTGTATTGGCACTGGTATAGATTCAAGGTTTGCTGTATTGGCCTCGAGACCCGTAGGGTCGAGGGCCAATACAGCTGACCGAGAATCTATACCAGTGCCAATACAGAAACAACCAGTTCATAACACTTTTATTAAATGATTATAAGGAAATTAAAAACCGGAAGTGAACGTCCCGTATTAGCCCATGGGCCAATACGGCTTTTTTCCCGCTTTTTTCTGTATTGGCCCTGTTTTTTCCGTTTCAAAACTTTAAGACGTTACAAAACATTGCACATCATTAAACCTGTTTATTTTATGATATTAATTTAAAAAATATTATACAAATGTTTTTATGCATAACGATACTTCCAAAGTTAAGTTATGGCGTAAGAAAATTGAAAACCGGAAGTGAACGTCCTGTATTAGCCCTAGGGCTAATACGGCTTTTTTCCCGCTTTTTTCTGTATTGGCCCTGTTTTTTTTCGTATTGGCCCTGTTCGAAGAGCAATATTAAATCTTGATTTATATCGACAGTGGAACGTTTTTAGTATTGCACATGCTGATTTATCCGTATTAGGGCTTATTTGCTCATATCATTTAATAATTTAAAATATCAATTTTTGTAACCTTCTAAAAATAAAGAATTTATTATTATTATTGTTATTATTATTATTATTATTTTTATTATTATTATTATTATTATTATATTAGTCTTTTAAAAAGCTTTTTTTATGCTGTAGCGGAGGGGCCATTAAGTTTTACGCTTGTCCGTCCGTACGTCCTAAAGTTGGTTTCCGTTCTCTAACTTTTAATTACCTCAACCAAATGTTATGAAACTTATACACAATGCTTATTACCACAAAACACAGATCAAGTTTGAATTTTGGGGGTGTCACTTTTATTGTTCTAGAGTTATGCCCCTTTACAAATGGAAAAATTGCTGAATTTTTCGTTTCCATTTTCTAACTTAAGTTTGCCTCAACCAAATGCTATGAAACTTATACACAATGCTTATTACCACAAAATACAGATCAAGTCGGAATTTTGGTGGTGTCACTTTAACCTTTATAGAGTTATGCCCCTTTACAAATGGAAAAATTGCTGAATTTTTTGTTTCTGTTCTCTAACTTAAGTTAGCCTCAACCAAATGTTATGAAACTTATACACAATGTTTATTACCACAAAATACAGATCAAGGTTGTTTTTGAGGGTGTCACTCTTATTGTTCTAGAGTTATGCCCCTTTACAAATGGAAAAAAATTGCTGAATTTTTCGTTTTCATTCTCTAACTTCTCAAACTCAGATCAAGTACAAATTTGGGTAGCGTCACTTTTACCGTTCTTCAGTTATGTCCCTTTATAACTTTATATGATAGACAAGCGGGGGCATCATCTGTGTCCCATGGACACATTCCCCATTTATTTTTTAAACAGACTAGCATCCTTGATTAAGGGAGATAATTTGTTTAAATCAGTGGTGTTTTTATGATAGTCAGTTTCATCAATGCTTTTTTAGCATTCATGGGAAACAGAATTTAGATGATCTGTGTTTCTTAGAAGCTTATAATTTGACACAAATGTACCAGTGACTTCAACAAGTTATATCTCTAGGTTACAATAAACCATTGAGTATTATGGGCTCAGATATTGAAATGTGCAGCAGTCCTTTTACACCAATTGCTATTTTCAAGATGTATCATTTGTGCCAAATATTATTTTTCAGAGGTGCCAATTTACTTAATTCATTTGCCCCATTTTACCTGAACATATATTTATTTATTTACCCTACATAATGATCCTTGCTAAATGTAAATTGTAGTAACTGAAAAAAATATATGGAAAAAATGGGACTATTTGAAAGTCAAACATATAGAGGACATGTGAAGAGCTATATGACCAAAAGTGATCTAAAAATAGCCAAATTCTTCTAAGGTCAACTTTGCCTGAAGGAGTTACAACCTTAGCTTCTTAATATTTTCTTAATTTATGAACAGCAAATTTAAGAAAAGTTTGTAATAAATCATCTTAGTAGAACCAAATGCAATAACCTTTACCTTGCCAATGTAAACTGGTGGTCCCATACCCAGGTATAAAGAGAAATGTAGTCATTAGTTTTTTTAAATTAATTGTAGCAAACGATACTCACAAACATAACATTGGTGCAAAGGGATTTCTCCCTGGAAATGAAGATAACATGCTATTCAGAATTAAGTGTTTGACTAATCCTGACTTAACTGATAGGGGGTGCCGCTGGGGTTCTGTTACCCAACCCTTTTCATATAATTTAGATTTTAAAATTGTATACCTTTTCATATATTGCGTAGGTAAAAATATAACCTTTTTGGTGTGTTGGAAAAGTGGAATACCAAAGTGTCAGAAAAAGGAAAATTTGTTGATAAAAACACAGCCGGTAAAATATCCCCTCTGCTCGGAGCTCAGATCTGAGGCTCAGATTCCTTATGTAATGTTTACTGGCGAGAATTTCGGCTGTGAACAAAATTATAGGGCTTTTCATAGTAATGGAAGTAATGGAAACTTTATTGACCTTATCATATATTTCTGATAGCTTTCCCACCCTATTCACATATTTTTAAGCTGGAAAATGTGACCTATTCCAGCGGCACGTCCTATCACCTTGTATAAAGGAAGTGGACCCCCGAGATATATTCACAACACCATGTCCTTTTCTACTTAAACTAAACTGACCACTTTTATTTCATGTGTTAAACAATTTCATCTAAGGGAGATAATCATTAGGAATGTTGAAAATATCCTGTATTGGAAATATAAATGGTGAAGTTTAATGAATTGAAGCTCTGGTAAATTAATTTTATGTGTTTAAATGCTGCCTATGTCAAGTTGTCTTTCTTTGAACTGCTAACGGAAAATATAGTACTATTATTATTATACTGAATGAAATATTTTCACCTGACTACAACAAATAAAAGGAAATAATTAATAATTTTGTTGAAATCCAAAAGAACACCAACTTTAAAATGTTATTAATACTATGTGTATATTCCCTAACAGTTATTCTGCTCATGTTCCTTTTTTGCAGAAAAAATTTACTTTTGTTGATGGACAGAAAAACTTGCTGTAATTTCTTTCATTTTTTACATCTATTGGATAGTTTAATGATTTTGCTTATCCTTATCTTTATTTTTAAATTTTAGTTTCCGATATAAAAGATAACACACTTAAAGCCATCAGTCAAGTGAAGAAGATGATCAATATAGTACAGAGTTTAGAACAAGCAAAGACAGAAACATGATGTGTCAATCATAATTACTTTTTAATGCAAAAATCTTGAAACATTCATCATATTTTTGCAACATTAAAAATGTGTTCATTATATGTACTAAAAATGTTAATTGCAAAAAAATATTGTATCATTTTCACAGTAATTATTGATCAATTGACAGTTATTTCAGATTGAATAGGGACAATACCAGTATATCTTATTGTCCCTGGCATAACGTGTTTTGGGGGACATTGAAATACTGGGCGTCCGTCGTTCAGGTCTTTTTGGCGCTGTCACAGGTACAATTCTTGCCAGATTTTTATAAAACTTAAACTATAGGTTAATATCAGCAATATCTATGACTAGTTGTATAATGGTGGACGATCTACTTTTTTAAATAGAGTTATGCCCCTTGGAAATATTAAATTTATGGAAAATGTCCTCGTTAGCGCTCTCACGGGTACAATTCTTGCCAGATTTTTATAAAACTTAAACTGTAGGTTAATATCAGCAATATCTCGGACAAGTTATATAATGGTGGACGATTTACTTTTTTTAAAAGAGTTATGCCCCTTGGAAATATTAAATTTATGGAAAATGGCCTTGTTAGTATCTCACGGGTACAATTCTTGCCAGATTTTTATAAAACTTATACTATAGGTTAATATCAGCAATATCTTGGACAAGTTTTATAATGGTGGACGATTGACTTTTTTTTTTTAAAGAGTTATGCCCCTTGGAAATATTATATTTATGGAAAATGGCCTCGTTAGCACTCTCACAGGTACAATTTACTTTCTACTGTTTAAATATGTATATATTTGAAAAAGAAATTGATTGTATATATAAAATATTGCAAAAGCCATAAACTAGTTTAACCTTTCAACTTTTTGAATGTGCTGTTTAACCGAAAAGGGGAGTCATAGTTGTTACTGTTCCAGCATAATCTAAATTTTCTGATATGATTTTTTCAGAATAAATGAATATGATACATTATTGATGTTTGGTATACACTGGGTATAAGCATTTGTGTTTCTCATGTAATGAGAAATGATCTCTTGTAATTAGATGCATAATGTTGGGTGCCAAAGGTCAACCCTAAAATTTGGTGACCTTGACCTTTGCTTTTTGCATGAATGGCTTGGTTAAGGTCTAAGTATCTTCAAATCATAAATAAAAGATCTTATGTAAATTGATGCGTTCTGTTTGATAAAAAATGTTTTAAATAGAATCAGGTGATATTGACATTCATTTACGCATGAATGGTTATATTGTTATTGTTAAGGTCTATATCCAAGCAACTATGAATCATAGAGGAAATAGCTTTTGTCAGTTGATGAATCACTCTTGCTTAGTGATGAAGGTCCACACTAAAATAAGGTCATCTTGACCTTCACTTTATGCATTAATCGTTTTGGTTAAGTTTTGTATAAAGGTCAAGATTTTAGCAACTACAAATCAAGAAATAATCTTTAATTGATTAATGCATCATTTTATTGGCAAATTTAGGTCAACTTTGTCAGTGGTTTATGTTTGGAATAGAATCAAAAGAAATAGATAAGGGCTGAGAGGATATGCTGTTATTTATGATGGCTCCATTTCTTTTTCTTTTTTTCTTTTTTATCTTTTTATATAATGCTATGAATGTTATGATCTATCTATCAAAAATACTGACATTTTTAGTCTGTTACAAAATTATTTATTAATGATATGAGATAATAATTTTATGTTATGTTTTATTTATTGGTTTGAAATACTTCTGTATCAGGGTGGTTTTATGAGCGCTTTGAACTACACTCCATCATAAAACAAAATGAAACTGAAAGTTATGACTGCTAAATGGTTGCACTTTTACAAATAAAACTATTATATTCCAAAGATTGAGTTGTTATCATTTAGAAAAAATCAAAGACAGATAAGAGTCTTTTGAGGTACTTTATAATTATTTTTTGAGTAACATCATTCATCAATATCCAACTGCTAACATGTTTTATTTGTAATATCCAACATCTTGGCAAAACTACAGTGTTGTTTCATAGATCAAACTAGTCTCTGGCTATTTTTCATGGACAATTTAAAAATTGTGGGTGAAAAAATTCAAAAGTAGGTATATCATGAACAAAAATTAACTCACAGCAGAAAGTTTTAAAGTGTGAATGTTATGTGTTATGACTGAAAAATATTTTGAAAGTTTGTGATATCAAGGTAAAATCATACTGAGATTTATAATCAATGGTATTTCAAACAAGATGTTTCTAAGCTACTATTTTGATAGCCCTGAAATGTGATTTAGCTGTGAAACATACTTGAATTTGATTGACCATTGATAATCTGTTCAGTGCTGATTTACTAGGCAACGTCAATGATGTAGGCTGATGACGTCATACATCCTCTCTACTCTACTGAGAAGTACCGATTATCAGGAGTCTGCATATTGATATGGTAAAATGTCAGCTGTGAATCACAATATGAAGCTTTTTGTATATTGAGTGCAGCAAACAAGTTCAAAAAGGCTTCATATTGTGTCGAGCAGCTGATATTTTACAATATAGATATGATGAAAATCTAATGATCGATTTATCGGATTGTATTTGTGTATTTTGCATGATAGAAAAAGTGTTTTTCTTTGTTTCACAAGCAAACCAGAGGATGAGAGGACAAGTTTGGGTCAAACTTCATTAAGATCGGTTCATTCATTATGACGTCAGTGATATGTCCAGGTCAAAGTTATTTAGGCCAGGTTAACATTATTGACGTCACAAAGCTGTGATATGCAATTTTATGAAGAGCTGAGCAGAGTAATGCAGACAGTGGGAACACCGATATTTATAGATTATCGATGGTTTTTCAAACGAGAGGGTGTTTCTCAGCTACAATCTCATCGAAGGGCGACAGCCCTGAGATGAGATGTGGCTGAGAAACATCCTTGAGGTTGAAAGACCATTGATAATCTGTTTATCGCTATTTTGCCTATGACGTTGTTAATTTTTACATTGACAATGGCACGTGCGCTCTTAGTTTCTGACGATAATTTTCTATCTCAAGTGAGTAGCATGATATGAAAAATTATCACAAAAAAAGATCAAAGGAAAAATACACAAAATAGCGATAAAAACCAATATCACTCCAGTAGGAAAATTTGAGAAGATAGTGATAAAGTTTACAAGAATGCATTGCAGTCACATTAGATGATGGGTGTTAGAACTAATAGTTAACTTAAAACAGTACTATGAATTCATTATGATTATGATTCTATGAATACCAAATTATCATGGAATTTGTAGGAACAGATACAATTACAAATTTTCTATAGGCTTGTAAACAGACTTTGGCAAAACCATGAAATCAAATATCCACCAAAATGCTGCAAGTTTTCCTCAATCCACAAAAACTGATACCCATGAAAATAATTAAGTCCACAGTAATTTAGACACTGATCCTACTCTTATTAAACCACAAAAACTTCCTATTTATCAATGAATCATGACCATATGATTTGATTATGTAAACAAGTCAGAAAGGAACGTAAATATTAAAATGATTCCATAAACCAATTAAAAAATTGCTGATTAGCTAACATATCAATAAACTTCCCATAAATCAATGATCATGAAAATTACATGTACCTCAAGTTGAGACTCCTTTCAGACAGCCATGTACACCCTGCAACAGCTCTGTGAATCATATTTCTAATCAGTAACTGCCAATAGTGAAATCCCATGTAAATGAAATTAAGTTTTTGCAATCTCCTTGTTGAACAGGAATTAGCACAAGTTCATGCAATCGTCTTGTTGAACAGGAATAAGCACAAGTTCATGCAATCTCCTTGTTGAACAGGAATGAGCACAAGTTCATGCAATCTCCTTGTTGAACAGGAATGTGCACATGGTAATGCAATTTCCTTGAATATCAGGAATGAGCACAAGTTCATGCAATCTCCTTGTTGAACAGAAATGTGCACAAGTTCATGTAATCTCCTTGTCTAACAGAAATGTGCACAAATTCATGCAATCTCATTGTCTAACAGGAATGAGCATAAGTTCATGCAATCTCATTGTCTAACATGAATGAGCATAAGTTCATGCAATCTCATTGTCTATCAGGAATGAGCATAAGTTCATGCACTCTTGTTGTTGAACAGGAATGTGCACAAGTTTGTGCAATCTCCTTGTATTATAGTAATGTGCACAAGTTCATGCAAACTCCTTGTCTAACAGGAATGAGCACATGTTCATGCAATCTTCTTGTTGAACAGGAATGAGCACAAGTTCATGCAATCTCCTTGTTGAACAGGAATGTGCACATGGTAATGCAATTTCCTTGACTATCAGGAATGAGCACAAGTTCATGCAATCTTGTTGAACAGGAATATGCACATGTTCATGCAATCTCCTTGTTGAACAGAAATGTGCACAAATTTATGCAATCTCCTTGTCTAACAGGAATGTGCACAAATTCATGCAATCTCATTGTCTAACAGGAATGAGCATAAGTTCATGCAATCTCATTGTCTAACAGGAATGAGCATAAGTTCAAGCAATCTCATTGTTGATCAGCAATGTGCACAAGTTTGTGCAATCTCCTTGAACTATAGGAATGTGCACAAGTTCATGCAATCTCATTGTCTAACAGGAATGGGCATAAGTTCATGCAATCTCATTGTCTATCAGGAATGAGCATAAGTTCATGCAAACTATTTGTGTAACAGGAATGAGCACACATTCATGCAATCTCCTTGTCTAACAGGAATGTGCACAAGTTCATGCAATCTCCTTGTCTTACAGAAATGTGCACAAGTTCATGCAAATTCCTTGTCTAACAGGAATGTGCACAAGTTCATGTAATCTCCTTGCCTAACAGGAATGTGCTCAACTTCATGCAATCTCCTTGTCGAACAGGAATGTAAACCTTGTAATAATTCTATACATCAAATAAAGTTCACTTGGTACTTACAAATACGTGAAGAAAATATCAGAAAAACGACATAAATCACCTATGTTCAAGGTGCTTCACTAATGAAATAAAAATAAAAAGTCTGATTTATGATATATTATAGATATTTGAAATGCAGTTGAATCATCATCTGTGTATCTGAGCTGCATTAAAGTTTTTACTTTACCTATTAAGTTTTGTGCTTTAGCACCGTTATACTTCAAATTATCCAAGAACGACTTTTTTGTCAGTTAATGCATTATTAGAGGTGTTAATTAAGGTCCACAATAAAAAAATTTAACATTGAATTTCCTTTTACGAATTAAGTTTTGCAAGATCTAGGCAATTACAATCAATATTAAAAATAAATAAATTGCTTCGCCGGGTGCTGCTGGATACGACCGCAGAGGTCCAACCCTGAACAGTTGGGGCAAAAATGGACACAATATTAGGATTGATACAGGTCTGAATTTGGATTGTAATTAAATATTTGACACATAATAGGTTTCTGACACAGAATGACTGTAGTCAAAGAACTTAGAATTCAATTGGTTATATGATTTGAATTTATATTCAATTTTTTGCTTTTGTGCAATACACTGTGCCTGTGTGAATTGAAACACTGTACAATTTTGTTTTTGGATTACCTCCCTTACACTGCTTTTAAATTGTCCATTAACCAGGAAACCCTTGTTTTTGTCCCTAATTCCTAACGGTTTGAGCCATTAACCCCCAAAGCCAATCCTAACCATCCCTTTGTGGTTTGGAAACTTGTGGTATAATTTCAGAGAGATCCATACACTTAAACACAAGTTATTGTCTGGAAACTAGAAAAATGCCTTTTTGGGCCTCTTTTTGGCCCCTAATTCCTAAACTGTTAGGACCATAACCCCCAAAATCAATCCCAACTTTCCTTTTTGTGGTATTGAACCTTATGGTAAAATTTCATAGAGATCCATTCACTATAACTAGTTATTGTGCGAAAACCAATGTGTCTTCGGACGACGACGCCAACGTCATACCAATAAACGACCGCAAAAAATATAAAAGATGCATTTGGTATGATTGACGATGAGACAACTCTTCACCAGAGACCAAATAAAGTAGAAGTAAGGTAACTTACTAAAAATATGTTTTTTTTATTATAATTGGTTTTTGGATGGTATTGAGTTTCCCTAGCATGACTGGACTTAATCTTATACAGATGGAAGACATCTGGAAGGAGAGAAAGTCTTGATTTTAAAGACAATAACTCAAAGATCATTGTTACTAAAAATTACAACTCTGAGAAAAGTTGGTTTCCTTGGAAATTGAAAATGAAATACAAAACAGACCAAATATGTATTTTTATTTTCTCTCCATAAATGTGCAGTTCATGGAGTATGTTGGCAGTGCCACATTTAAACCATTTCATTCAAAACCATAACTGAAACTACCTTCTCTATTGCCAACTTAATGGCACCTCTTTATTCTTATTTTACTTGAATGCTTGCTTCAGCCAGATTCATATGAATTTTAAACACCGTCCCCTGGAGTCTGAAGCAATTAATCAATCCAAAATATTGCTCCCTTTGGGCCGCACTGCCGCATGCATCCCTTCCGCAGAGAACAGAAAAATTAAAATAATCTTTAAATGATTATTGTTTATTTTACTCCAGTTTTTGTCTCGCTTCGATGAAGTCAATAAAAGCAAGACTCAGGCATGCTGTTTTGGACGGCTGTGTCGGACTGTCGGAGGCATTGTCATACATTATACATGTGCCTACTTTTATCCACAAGACATTCACCATACTTAAAGCTGGATTAACATTAGTGTAAATTAAAATGACACCACCAAAATTCAAACTTGATCTTTATTTTGTGGTAATAAGCATTGTGTATAAGTTTCATAACATTTGGTTGAGGCATACTTAAGTTAGAGAATGGAAACAAAAAATTCAGCAATTTTTCCATTTATAAAGGGGCATAACTCTAGAACAGTTAAAGTGACGCCACCAAAATTCAAACTTGATCTGTATTTTGTGGTAATAAGCATTGTGTATAAGTTTCATAATATTTGTGAGACAAACTTAAGTTAGAGAACAGAAACGAAAAATTTTGCAATTTTTCGATTTATAAAGGGGCATAACTCTAGAACGGTTAAAGTGACATTTGGTTGAGGCAAACTCAAGTTAGAGAACGGAAACCAATTTTGGGACGTACGGACGTACAGACGGACAAGGGTAAAACTTAATGCCCCTTCTGCTATGGCGGGGGCATAAAAATTGTTAATATGAGGCAGGTGCTATGAACTCTCGAAAAGTTAATGGTGCATGTTCGTCCAACTGATAATCATATTGTTCTGTAATCAGATATACAAATTTGCAGGAAATTGTTTGCTCCTCAGATGCATATCAGGGGGAATCTTATGCTCCTTGATCATGTTTTATGAAAACTCCATTAAAGAACAAAAACCTTTCTCCCAATCTCACACAAGATCGTGTGACAGGAAGTTTATTGCTGTCATTGTTGTTGGAAGCTTTTTTTTTTTTATAGTTGTTCCTCTGGTATGACATAAATGGACACTTTTACCATCTTATCCTCCCTTCATCAGCATATAATAGGTACTGAAAATTAATAAATTATTAACAGTGAAAAAAGTAATACAACAATATCAACTCAAATTTTTATTTTCAAGTTAGTTTTCATAAAAAATGTACAGGAATCATATTTAAATCTTGCTACCAGTACCTTATTAATAAAATACACAATACATGTAATAAATGCAAACATTTTACTTTAAAGGAGTAGGTCCGGTAAGGGCCGATTTTGGCCTCAAATTTCAGGTTCATCTGATTAAAGATTTTTGACACTTTTTAAACACTTAAGTGTCTACTTCAGTCGATTCAATTAGTTTATATGAAAGATTTTAACTGAATTAGTCATTTCAGACGCTCTAATTCAAGCTTAAATATGAAAAATCTGTCAAATATGCCATAATGTGTCACTTTTCAGATGGTTTTTGTCAAAAATGAAAGTGGCCGCATCCGTGTTCACTCTCAACCTTTATATATGTTATGTATTATCATTAAATACAACTTACATTTAAATATTAAGAATGAACACAAATGCGGCCACTTCCATTTAAGACGGAAACCGTCTAAAATTTAACTCAAATTCTAAAATTGTGAAGATTTCAGTAATTTAGCATGACTTAATGATGCTAGTACCCGATATATGTGCATTGTATTGTCAAAAACATCCCATTTTTATGTAGCAGAAGTATTATACTTTCCAACAAATAGCTAAAAGTTTACATTGTAACAATTTTGTAAAACTGCTATATTTTGGGGCCAAAAAGGGGTCTTACTGGACCTACTCCTTTACAAAAGATGTCAAGTCAAAACACAAAAACAAAAGTTAACAAAACATGATTGGCACATAAAAATGGTTGTATAAATATAACTCTATTAAAACTTGCAAAGAAAGAAGGACCTGACAATTCCTCATCCAGTAAAGGCTTCATTTGCACTGATTCAGCGATTGTTCTATTGAAAATCTATAATCTCCACAAAGCAATAATAAATATGTTTTTTTCTGCAACTGTCAAATTGTATGATATGAATTTCTTACAATGCTTGATTTTAAATTTTGTTTATGGTAAGACATGCTACCCAATGCTTAAATGGGAAGCATGTGAAATAAAACATAATATAGAACTTGTGATGAGTGTTAATTGTTAAAGATTTTTTTTGTGAAAAGAGCCACACCGGCCTTACTTATATAAAGAAATAGAAAAACAGAAAAACAATCATTCTATAATCAAACAGCAAATGACAAAATTTTGCATAAAACATATATTATTTTGATGTCTTCTGTCAAGTCTGTGTCAAATCCATGTAACTTTCTCTCAAAACCATCTAAGCATTTTTTTAGGAGTTTAAAATCTAATACAAAGATTCTTCCACATTAATTGCAAAGTAGAAACTAATGTCCATTTGTCAAAATATTAAAACAGTAGAAAAAAACTCAAAAAATCTCACTCTTCAATTCAATTTAAAAAAAAAATTATACAAATAATTTGCTTATTTTCAACAATTACAAATGTTGTTAATTTACATATTTCATTATATTTGTTTTTGCAAGGATAGCACTAAAAATTACTTTGAAATGTAAAATGTATTTTGCTATTTATAGTTTCAATAACTGACCCTCTCCTTTTTGTTGAAGTTGCAGCTTCTATCTTAACAACAGTTTACTTGTTTATTATTTTTGAAATAAAAAAAAGTGACTGAAATCCCTCAGATAAATGTTCCAGAATATACATTAAACTAGTTTTATAGGGACAATATAACAAAAATGATGACATAAAAAAATAATGGTTTGTTTTGAATACAGGAAAACAAACATATCATTATTATTTTGGTCCTTGATGTAATGGTCCCCTGTAACTAGTTCATTAATTCAGCTTTTTAGTTAATGCAACTCCTAATCCAACAAGACCTCCTATAGCTATAGCAGCTCCACCTACTATTGCCATACCCATCAGGCCATCTGTAAACAGAATAAAATCAAAAATTATATGATCTTCAAAACCTTTATACTTATTTCTATAAATGTCTAAGTGTAACCTCATATATATATAAGAATCTAGAATTCAATTACATATTTTACAAACAATGCACTACTGTGGATTCACAATTATTCGTTGGATACCAATGTTCGTGGATTACGTGGGAACTGGAAAACCACGAATTCAAATGTTCAACGAATTACAAATTTTCTATAAGGCTTTGTATGCAAGATTGGCAAAACCACGAAATCAAATATCTACGAAAATGCTAGTTTTCCACAATCCACGAAAATTGATACCCACGAAAATAAAAGAATCCACAGTAGTTTAAGTTTTCCACATATAAATGTGCCTGTCCAAATCAGAAATCCAATCAGTGGTTGTCTTTAAATATATCTCAATGTTTTTTTGTCATTTTAACTTTCAGGAATAGCTGTTAATTTTGAAGAGTCTGGTTGATTTAGAGCTTGACAAATTGTTTAGACATTTATTTATTGTTGACCTTATGTGTAGTTCAAAATGTCTCTTCTTTTTTCTTGGGCTACTTGAGTCAGTGTCTCATTGATAAAAACCCAAAAATCTCCAGTTATCCATACAAGAATTAATAATAAGGGGAGATAATTAATGGAATAGTGGAACAAAAACAAGTGATTTGTTACAATGTACAAACCAAAAACTAGCTTCTTATTCCTTATCAAACTAGCAAATATATAATATAATATAAATTGAATATACTTGTATGTTCTATCCACATGCCCAATATTTTATTATATGAAGCTGAAGCTTACTTAAAGTTTAAATTTAAGTATTAGAAGAAGATGATTAAATCTCATGAAAAGTCAAACAAGTTCATTTGATAAGGCGCTTTTCTGTATACAGGTACCTTATAATTATCCTACACAAGAACTCACCTTTCTTCATTTTATCCTCTATATAATGCTTTAAGCTTTGTGCTTGTCTATTTTCAGGCTCAACTTTTAATAGGGCTTTAGCATATTTTAAAGCATCTTCATATTCCTACAAAAATATGAAGATTTTTTTTTAACAGCATACAATGATACATATTATAAAATTTGACTCATATAAAGCACAACATATTATTTTATGCAAGTCTCTGTGATTATATTTCCTTTATTGGGGTGTAAAAGCGTTGACCGAAGTACATTTTGTATGAAGCGCTTCATTCTAAAAATGTGCAAACGGTCAATGCTTTTACAACCCTATAAAATTACTAAAAGAAGCATTCAATACTTATAATTACATTTTTTTGCTAGGATCATGAAAACACGATTTCTTTCAAGTTTTTCTTTTATTTACCTGTGCACTTTATTGTAGAAGCTCGTGTCATCATGAATGTTGCATTTCATTTTGAAATGAAGGTTAATTTCAGAATGACGTGAGATTGCTGTTAGCCAATCAAAATAACGTATTATAATGAAACATACATGTAATGTAATCATTGATATTTTAAGAACAAATACTAAATGTATAGATTCATGCAGCATGCACAAATTATGTTATTTTCTTGACAAGTTAATTTAAACACATTCACATCATTTTGTAACTTGGAATATTTGGGTATATATTTTATTGATAAATTTCTTGAAATGTTCATGGGACAGGATGTATAGAATGTTGTGCTAAATGTACTAGGGTTTTTTTTATCTCAAAAATAGTAATTAAGTCTGTAAATTTGAGAAGTTTAAAGCCAGTCACATAAGGGTTTTGCAGGAACGTAATTGTTAACCCAAAAATTGGAGTCACAGGACTTGTTTTCTTGCTATAAAACAAACTAGAGGCTCTAAAAAGCCTGTGTCGCTCACCTTGGTATATGTGCATATTAAACAAAGGACACAGATGGATTCATGACAAAATTGTGTTTTGGTGATGGTGATGTGTTTGTAGATCTTACTTTACTGAACATTCTTGCTGCTTACAGTTTATCTCTATCTATAATAATATTCAAGATAATAACCATAAAATGCTCCGCTGGGGCGCAGCTTGATACGACCGCAGAGGTCGAACCCTGAATAGTTGGGGCAAGTATGGACACAACATTCAAGCTTGATACAGCTCTGAATTTGGATTGTAATTAAATATTTGACACAGCATAGGTTTCTGACACAGAATGAATGTGGTCTAAGAACTTTTTTTTTTTTAATTTACCTATTCAAACCATATCACTATTATTTGCTTTTATATATAAATCAGAAATAACCAATTTAAAATGGAAAATTTTAAAGAAAAAAAAGGAAAAAAAAATCCCCCCCCCAAATTTTTTGAACCCCCTTATGATTCATCACCCCCAAACTCAATCCCAGCCTTCCCTTTTGTGGTATGGTACCTTGCAGTACAATTTCAGAGAGATCCATACACTTGAACACAAGTTATTGTCTGGAAATAAGAAAAATGCTTGTTTTTTTCCCCCTTTTTGGCCCCAAATTCCTAAACGTTTAGAGCAATTACCCCCAAACTCAAACCCAGCTTTCCCTTTGTGATATGGAACCTTGTAGTACAATTTCATAAAGATCCATATACTTACACACAAGTTATTGTCATGAAAATAGAAAAATGCTTGTTTTTTTGCCCCTTTATGGCCCCTAATTCCTAAAATTTTGAGGCAATTATCCCCAAAATCAATCCCAGCCTTCCTTTAGTGGTATGGTACCTTGCAGTACAATTTCAGAGAGATCCATATATTGAACACAAGTTATTGTCTGGAAACTAGAAAAATGCTTATTTTTTGCCCCTTTTTGGCCCCTTATTCCTAAACGTTTTGGGCAATTACCCCCAAACTCATTTCCAGCTTTTCCTTTGTGATATGGAACCTTGTAGTTTCATATAATAAAAATAATAATGGGGGAAAGCTCTTAAGTCAATTATTCATTAGAGCATCTCTTTCTTGGGACAGTTGTTTTAAAAAGTTTGATCATCTCTGTGTCTTCATTGCTTAAATTTGTTTTCATCAGAAAGTTTACTAAAATTCTTCTTATCATTATTTAATTGGTGAAAGTATGATTTCCGTACTGTTGTTAAGCATGGGCATTGAATTAAAAATTGGATTTCATCTTCAACAGAATGTTTACATGAAATACATTTTCTTTCCCTAATATCCAAGTTACAATATCTTCCTTTCTTAATATTCAGGCCATATCTTATTTAAGATCTAGACTGCGTGGTCTGCTATTTTACAATTCGACAACAGGAAGACATATGATCTACCTGAAACACAATTTACTACCAGTACATATTTTTGTTATCTCTATTGTAATTTTTCAATTTACCAGTAAACCCATCTCCTGTTCCTTGTTTAACAGGTGATATCGAACATTCACCTTTTAAAAGTAACAAATTACACTGTTTAATTTTCCTATTATATATGAGACTGTATAACTATTTAAATTTCAGATCACTGATAATCATTGATAATATATAATGAATTGTGAAACTACATCATAAAATAATAAACATGTCAAAACTTAAATCACAAATCACACCCTATGTTCATGTGACTTACTACTGCAAAAATTGATATACTACTATGTAAAAATCTATCGACTATTGTGGGAAACTTGTGCTTTCATTTACTTGTATTTTAAATGACCTAATTTTTCTGTTTAAAGTTCTCAGAAGTACATGTAATCAAATATGATAAGTTACTTTAATTCATCCATTTGAAAAACTGAAACTAAAACATTATGCGAATCATATTTCCCAACATATTATTTTCAACTTCTGAGAAGTGATGTAGTGTGAACTTAAGAGCGAGATGACATTATTTTACAAAAATGGCTACAACCAAGTCAATAAAAGTGAAAACAATACAAAAAGAAGTAATTCAAGACGGCTGCCTGCAGTGTAATGGAGACAATAAAGTCCAGTGGAAATGCCAGGAGTGTGTTATGCTGATGTGTAGCAGATGTAAGGATACAATTCATTCAAAGTTGGAAAATGCTGGAACTCATAGGATTATAGATATCAAAGATTTAGGCAAAATAAGGGAGGAGAATTTACAGCTTCAAGTCATCAATGAGTACACAACAGATATGAAAAATATTCATCTTCTTGCATGTTCCTACCAAGATGACTCTATATGGTTAGGCGACAATGCCCTTGAAGTTGTTCAACATGTAAAACCAGAAAAAGAGAGCATCAAAATTTTATCCAGTTTTAACATCAGGGTTTATGACATGGCAGCACTATGTCCAAACGATATCCTTTTATCAGTTGCGGGAGAGACGCTGAAGTTAATAAGTGGGAGAACTGGACAAATGACTGATTCCAAGTTTAGCATTTCATCATTAATAACCAGTGGAATTCATGTTACAAAGGACCAGAAAATAATAATGGGTGTCATTCCTGCAGGATCAGCATTCACTGCTGAAGGAAAACGTTCTGTGATTGTTATGGATAAGGAAGGCAGACATCTGACTGAATATGGACAAAGAAACGGAAACCCACTATTCAAAGTTCCCTTTAGGATTACTTCAACACATAGTGGAAATATCTGTGTTGTTGACCAGTTAGACATGGCAGGTAGAGGAAGACTTGTTGTGCTTAAGCAAAATGGAGACATTTTACAAACTTACACAGGTCTTCAAAACAAACACGACAAACATTTTCAACCAAGAGATGTAATTACAACACGATCAGACAAGATTGTTTTGGCTGACCCTTACAATCATTGCTTTCACATTTTGACCTGTGATGGAGAAATTCTTGATTATTACTCTACAAGGAACAATGAAATAGTTGGACCATATTCTCTTGCTGTAAACAAAGATGGTCATCTTAACACAGGCTGTGCAACTTTCATAGGTAGTCCGCACTCCTCTAAACTATATAAATTTGAATATTCTCAATTTTAAATGTAAATCATCTGATTTATATACTGGAAAATGATATATTTTAATATTAAATTTTACTGATCATTGATGATAAATGAATCAAAGAGTTGTACGATTTCAATACAAGAGGCTACTTGTAGTCTGTACTGCCATTAATTACTACACAATGAACATGCCTTTAATATCATGTTAGTAATGAGGGTCTGGATTGGGGTCCTTCATTCTTTATTCTTTAATTTTTGAGACCACTTTTCTCTTATCTATATTTATTTTGCCCACTATTTTTAATTTTCTAGTAGACCATTATTCTCTATTCTCTATTCTAATGGCATATTTTCCCCTATTCTTTATTATTTTTTACCAACTATTCTATTCTCTTTCCTGTAAACCCCATCCAGAGATTCCAGACCCTCAGTAATCATTTAACAGGCCAACAACAAGGGACACAGTTTTATTTTTCAGACTTTAAAAATCATAGTATAACTGTAAAGCTTCAAAATTGGTTAAGGAATAGACCGCTTTTGAGTTTGTTGTATTTCCATCAAAAACTTTGGTTTAAGTGAACATCATTCTTGCATTTAGGGGCATCATCACTTCCTTCCCATGTTGAGCGAGCGTTTGAAAAAATATGATGCTATATTGTACAAATTATTCGGACAATTAAATTCTTATAATTGATAATCAGCACTGCTGTCATTAAGGAATTGTCATTAAGTATCTACGGAACAAACATTATTTCTAGTTAATCCTGCATAATGACGATCACGAAGACGCTTGATGAACTTTAATAGTGCAGGGATACAGGCAGTCCCCTCTATCTGGTAAATGATGTCATAAAGGCACCCATAATTGACGAACTTTTCCAGTGAAGGACATAACTCCAAAATGGTCTATTGAAGACACATATATCAAAAATGTTTAAAATGAAAAAAAATTTGAAGTACCAAATCAAATTGCACATTAACTACAGTGTTCTCCACAGGATTTTTGGATAGCACCAGGGTAATCAAGTCGACAAATCAGGTATACTAGTATGCATTGAACATAATTTGCATCGTGTCACAACACATTTCCTCTATCCTCCTTATGGTTAGTTCCCATAGAAATCCTTCTTTTTTTTATTACTTTTTATCTATTTGAGGTTTTGTTTTCTTTTGTACTGTGTTGTAGGTTTATGCAGTATTCTAATATGACGTTCCTCTCTTGCTTTGGAAACAAAGCCATGTTCTAATTCCAATTAAACATGGGCTGCACGTGATTGACGTCACAATTGAAACAGCAACGTCAGCTGTGTTTTGAACAGCGCCGGAAATCAAAATGGACATTTGTTTTGGTGTTGCTTGCTAGGAAATTAAAACAAATCATTCTAAAAGTAACTTAACATGTATCTTTTCATTGTTTATTGTGAAACGGTTGATTTTCTATAACGTTTTGGCTTCATCAAATCAAAATGGATGCCTTTTGAACGCAAATTATAGATCCACTTCGAAGTACAAAAGTTCAAAATTTTTCTATTAGAATCGAAATAATTCTATCATGCCATACTCTATGCTAATTTTAACATGGGTAGGCATTATATTTGTCAACATTTTACACCTCGCTAACACTCGGTATAAAGATATTGACATTTATAATGCCTACCCATGTTAAAATGAGCATAGAGCATGGCATGAAAGAATTATTTTTTAAACTAAATAGTAAGAATTTCTTCTGAAGGGATGAATCCTTCAATATGTATGTTACCAGCACCAGGTACTTCCATGAAATAGTTACATTTTCATATTCTCTTTTTAATTGTATCCAGGCTATGACTGTCAATAGAATTCAATTCTATAGGATCCAAATAAATTTTGGCTGATGTATAAAATTCATTAAATTAACTGGGCTAAACTAGTCAAAAACGTAAGTTTTATTGTTGTAAAAGAGAAGGAAGACCCATTGAATGAGACGGGATGCGATTGCTAGCCTGGACAACTTGCTTCAAACAGAATAGAAATATATATAATTGTCAATTATTATTATTCAATGGACCAACGGTTAACCTTTTATAAAGTATAAACAATTTTTTGGCACCTGTACAACTTTCGGCATTGTGTCCAAATTAAAATTTCCAATTACATCACTGGTCAGCGCTTTGGAGGTGAGTGAAGCCATAAAATTGTTGTCAGAAGTCACATAAATTATCTCCAAATCAATTAAAACATATAAGAAGTTACAAGTGCTAATTGATTGATTAAATCCAATCAGCAACAGGTAAACCTGATCAGGTAAATCGATCACCTGCTGTAAGAATCAACGTGCTGTTTAAATTTCACCTGTAATTTTATACGACAAGTAGAATATTTTACCGATACACAGATTTTTTTACTAAAACTTATAGCACCCCGGAATAGGAATATAGGACCACACGAAGAATGATAAGACCACGCTATGAAATTTTAGGACCGCGGGTCCGTGGTGCTTTAAGGGCCTGGGGAGAACACTGAACTAGTGTCAAAACCAGAACTGAGTCTTGTAACTCTAGGTATTCATTTTCAGAGGACATTGTTATCATTAATTCTCTGAAGTTACAAAACATTTCCCTGTGTAAAAATTTCAGAGCAGAATTTCATCCTGATATGTCTGTAAATTTTGCCACTGTTACCATCATCATCATCATCAGAGCAGAAGATTTTGAAATTTTGCTAATCTGAGTCAATGATTGACTCTTGCAACTACAGTATGTTTTTTTCCTGATTCAAACCACATAAGAATTGTAATGCATTTCATACGTCATTCATCCAAATTCTGTTAAAATTGGCCAAGACATTTCATAGGAAATAGTGAAAATGCGATTTCCAATGTGGTTTTAATGAATATGTGTTACCAATTAATGCTCCAGTGTTCACATGTTCTCTCAGATACTTATTCATAGCTCAGGGATAATTCTGATGATGACAGAACTCAGCTAGTATAATCAGAACCCGTCCTGTGGACACATGGGTTCATTAAATGATGCATTGATTCAGATAAACAAAATCATGTGTCCATGACGAGTGTAGGTGCCTTAACAAGTACCCTGGTTCACCAACTGATCAAAACATCAAATGAGGATTGTTTGCAGATAGTTTTCTTAAGTTCCCTTAAGTTTCAAAACATTTTGCATTGTAGTTTTTGAGGTTAAGATTTTTGAAAATTTGCCAATCAGAGTCAAGGATAACATATTTGTTTTCATCCTATTATAATCAAATGCTATCATTTTTAGGGAGACCTCCATACATCATTTCTGTCTGTTTATATAAAATTGTCCAAGTAATTTAAGAGAAAAAAAAATGAGATTTCTTATTGTTTTAAATGGGTAATATTTGCAAACAATGATCCTGTTTGCAGCTTTGAATGAGGAAAGTTTAAAGAGGGTATTTCAATCATCATGATCAATACCTTCAAGTTTCAAAACATTTTTTCCTTGAAGTTACAGAGGAGAAGGTTATTGAAATTTGGTCGATCAGAATAAAAATTGCCTCTGGGAGCAATATTTTTCATCTGATTGGAATCAAATGAGGACAAGTTGTCACCCCATGATTTTTACTTTTTTATTTTGAAAAGGATAGTAAAGAGACGTGCCCTGTATTTTTTTACTACTTAATAAAACATATGAATTCACTCCATATTGTTTATTGTATATATGTTCTCAATTCTTTAAATGTGTATGTTCTCATTAAAAGTGTTCATCCATTCTTAAAAAAATGTTTAAGTTACCTGAAATTTATGAGTATAATAAAATGCTTCGCTGAGCGCATCCTGATACGACCGCAGAGGTCGAACCCTGAACAGTTGGGGCAAATTTGGACACAATATTCAAGCTTGATACTGTCTGAATTTGGTTTGTGATCAAATTTTTGACATAATTTAGGTTTCTGACACAAAATAAATGTGGTCAAAGATCTTATAAATCCATTGGGCAATACTGTGCAATTGAAGATTTCTTCTTGAAACTTTTCAAAAATTTGAAATTTTAAAAATTTCGAAAAAAAAAATGAATCCTTTAAAAAAATTGGGAAAAAAATTCCCCCTCCCCCCCAACTTTTTGAAACCCCCTTGGAGCAATAACCCCAAAACTCAATCCCAGCCTTTCCTTTGTAGTATGGAACCTAGAAGTACAATTTCAGAGAGATCCATTCACTTACACACAAGTTACTGTCCGGAAACTAGAAAAATGCTTGTTTTTGGCCCTTTTTTGGCCCCTAATTCCTACATGTTTGGGGCAATTAACCCCAAACTCAATCCCAGCCTTCCCTTTGTTATATGGAACCTTGCGGTACAATGTCAGAGTGACCCATACATTTACACACAAGTTATTGTCTGGAAACTAGAAAAATGCTTGTTTTTGGCCCTTCATTCCTAAACTGTTGGCCCCATAACCCCTAAAATGAATCCCAAACTTCTACTTGTGGTATTAAACATTGTGGTAGAATTTCAGAGCAATCAAAATACTTATACACAAGTTATTATCCTGAAACAAGAAAAATGCTTGTTTTGGGCCCCTAATTCCTAAACGGTTGGGACCATCATCCCCAACCTTCCTTTTGTGGTATTAAACCTTCTTAAAAAATTTCATAGAGATCCATTCACTTAAACTAAAGTTATTGTCCGGAAACCAATGTGTCTTCGGACGACGACATCATACGATCCCAAAAAAATTTTTGTGGTCTTATAAAAATAAGAAGATTGCTAATGAGACAACTCTCCACCAGAGACATAGAAGTTAACAACTATAGGTCAATGTACGACCTTTAACAATGAGCAAAACCAATACTACAAAGTAAGCTATAAAAGGTTCTGAAACCACAAATATAAAACAATTCAAACAAGAAAACTAACAGCCTGATTTATTTACAAAACGAAAAACAAATATGATATACCCCGGTACAGCAACAAACAACAACCACTGGCATACTAGGCTCCTGACTTGCTTAAAACTGTCTTGTGATTTAATAAATTTCTTATATTTTTATAAATAAATATGAAAATTTAATTATCTTACAAAAATTATTATAATACTCACTTTTAACCTTGTATATCCAAGTGATAAACAAAATAAATAATCTCTTTTTCCTTCATCTTCCTTTATTCTTCTAAATAAATCTAAAATAAATATACATTTGAATAAGGTTAAAAAATGGAATCTGTTCTTGTATATTTATAAATCTATCCAATATTCTTGGTACATGTAATTCATTTCTTTATTCGGTATTTGTAATGTAATATTGCTATTACTACAATGGAAACAAGTTCAGGAGAAAGGGAAAACACTACAGCCAAAATCATTTTTTCTCAGACATCTTGAGCTGCCATACAGATATGACTAAAGGAGGTGACTGGTCACTGATGTGTTTTAAACATCAATGAAACAGCAACCAAACAACAAAAACAACAAATCAAATAGGTGTCAATATAACAAGAAATAAATTGCTTTGCTGAGCTCAGCCTGATACGACCCCAGTGGTCGAACCCTGAACAGTTGGGGCAAATTTGGACACAATATTCAAGCTTGATACTATCTGAATTTGGATTGTGATCACATGTTTGACAAGATATAGGTTTCTGACACAAAATAAATGTGGTCAAAGATCTTACAAATCTAATGCGCAATACTGTGCAATTGAAGATTTCTTCTTGAAACTTTTCAAAAATTTGAAATTTTGAAAATTTTGAAAAAAAAATATGAACCCTTTTTAAAAAATTGGAACCCCCCTTCCCCCCAACCTTTTTGAATCCCCCTTTTAGCATTAACCATCAAACTCAATTGCAGTCTTTCCTTTGTAGTATGGAACCTTGTAGTACAATTTTAGAGAGATCCATACACTTAATCACAAATTACTGTCTGGAAACTAGAAAAATGCTTTTTTTAACCATAAAAGCCCATTTAAATACATCATAAAAGTATTACAATAGAAAATGACATCATAGTCATGGCTAAAATAAAAAAAAAACCTTCATCAGCAACTTTTAATAGTAATATCTAACTAGAGCCTGTGTCGCTCACCTTGGTCTATGTGCATATTAAACAAAGGACACAGATGGATTCATGACAAAATTGTGTTTTGGTGATGGTGATGTGTTTTGGTGATGGTGATGTGTTTGTAGATCTTACTTTACTGAACATTCTTGCTCCTTACTATTATCTCTATCTATAATGAACTTGGCCCGGTAGATACAGTGGAAAATACTTTGTAAAAATTTACAATAATTTACAAAATTTATGAAAATTGTAAAAAATTGACTATAAAGGGCAATAACTCCTTAACCCTAATGATGATTGTGGACAAGTTTGGTTAAATTTGTATTAGTAGTTTCAGAGGAGAAGATTTTTGTAAAAAATTACAAAAATTTACGAAAAATGGTTAAAAATTGACTATAAAGGGCAATAACTCCTTAAGGGGTCAACTGACAATTTTGGTCAAGTTGACTTATTTGTAGATCTTACTTTGCTGAACATTATTGCTGTTTACAGTTTATCTCTATCTATAATAATATTCAAGATAATAACCAAAAACGGCAAAATTTCCTTAAAATTACCAATTCAGGGGCAGCAACCCAACAACGGGTTGCCTGATTGGTAAGAAAATTTCAGGGCAGATAGATCTTGACCTAATGAACAATTTTATACTCATCAGATATGCTCTAAATGCTTTGGTTTCAGAGATATGAGCCAAAAACTGCATTTTACCCTATGTACTATTTTTTAGCCATGTCGGCCATCTTGGTTCACGGGCGGGGTCATCGGACACATTTTTTAAACAAGATACCCTAATGATGATTGTGGACAAGTTTGGTTAAATTTGTCTTAGTAGTTTCAGAGGAGAAGATTTTTGTAAAAGATTACAAAAATTTACGAAAAATGGTTTAAAATTGACTATAAAGGGCAATAACTCCTTAAGGGGTCAACTGACCACTTTGGTCAAGTTGACTTATTTGTAGATCTTACTTTGCTGAACATTATTGCTGTTTACAGTTTATCTCTATCTATAATAATATTCAAGATGATAACCAAAAACGGCAAAATTTCCTTAAAATTACCAATTCAGGGGCAGCAACCCAACAACAGGTTGTCCGATTCATCTGAAAATTTCAGGGCAGATAGATCTTGACATTATAAACAATTTTACCCCATGTCAGATTTGCTCTAAATGCTTTGGTTTCAGAGATATAAGCCAAAATCTACATTTTACCCCTATGTTCTATTTTTAGCCATGGCGGCCATCTTGGTTGGTTGGCCGGGTCACCGGACACATTTTTTAAACTAGATACCCCAATGATGATTGTGGCCAAGTTTGGTCAAATTTGGCCCAGTAGTTTCAGAGGAGAAGATTTTTGTAAAAGTTTACGGACGACGGACGACGGACGCAGGACGACGGACGCAAAGTGATGAGAAAAGCTCACTTGACCTTTCAGGTCAGGTGAGCTAAAAATAAATTCCTTCATCAGCATTTAAAAGTAACTTCTAAAAATAAATTGAAAGCTGGACTTTGCAACCATAAAAACCCATTTAAATACATCATAAAAGTATTAAAATAGAAAAATGACATCATAATCATGCCTAAAATTAAAACACTTTCATCAGCAACATTAAATAGTAATATCTAAAAATAAAATTCCTTCATATACATAATCATGGCTATAATTAAATTACCTTTATTAAACATTTTTAAAATAGTAACTTCTAAAAATAAATTGATAGCTAATCACCTAAAGACAATACATTTCTTTATAAATAACTTACAAGCAGTGTAAGGGAGATAATTTGACAATATGTGTTTGAATTACCTCCCTTACACTGTTTTAAAATTATGTTTTGTACTTAAGTAATTGTCCATTAACCTGGAAACCCTTGTTTTTGCCCCTAGTTCTTAACAGTTTGAGCCATAACCCCCCAAAGCAAATTCTTACCATCCTTTTGTGATATGGTAACTTGTGGTATAATTTCAGAGAGATCCATACACCATTTCACAAGTTATTGACTGGAAACTAGAAAAATGCTTATTTGGGCCCCATTTTGGCCCCTAATTCCTGAACTGTTAGGACTATAACCCCCAAAATCAATCCTAACCTTCCTTTTGTGGTCATAAACCTTATGGTAAAATTTCATAGAAATCCATACACATAAACAAAAGTTATTATCCGGAAACCAATGTGTCTTCGGACGACGACTACGACGTGATACCAATATACGACCGCAAAATTTTTGCAGTCGTATCAAAATTCCCAAAATCCCAAAATGAACCCCAACACCAAGTTATATGATTGCAGGTCTTTAGGTATCTGAGATTTTTACTGGGAATTAAAACTTAAAGGGAGTCAAAGAAAAAAATAAAATGATCCATTTTAGAATGGAATGCTATTTAACTCAAAAAGACGCCTCCTTACACCAAGTAACAAATATTTTTTTTAAAATCTTTAAAGCCACTTAACCTTGAAATGATATGGGTAATATACCGTCACCTAATGGCACATCTCTCTATAATGGATCTGAGCACCAATTATATTGCTGTATTATTCATAGCTATTGAGAAGTGGCTTAGAAAATGGAGAAAATTTCTGTAGTATAACAATATAAATAAATCATACATATTTCTATGGTTAATAGTGTACATGTACCTTCTAAAAGTGCAATTCCTTTCTTTGTATCAGAGTGGGCTTTGCCCCTGATTAAACACCAAGCATATTCAAACTGTGCTTTTTCATCTACAACACCTCGTTTGACCTGCTCTTGATATAAGACCTGAAATTTCTGAAAATTCAAAAAAAAAAATTATGCATATATTTTGCTTTAGAAAGTAGAGAAAAGTAAAGTTACAGAGGAGGAGATTACTCCTCATCCATTTTTTGGGGTGAATTAGGATCTAAGAAAATACATATGTACATGTATCCTCATTGTCCAAAGCCCCTTTTCTTTGAATGACACATGACACATAACAAATAAAATAAATCATTACAGAACAAAACACAATGTTGAAAAGCCATTTCAGGTAAGAATGGAGATTAAATAATAATTTTTCATATCCTTATTCTTTGCTTTCTAACAAATTAAGCTTATTATTTTCCTCATATAAGCACATATGCATGCAATCAGTACCTTTCATAGAATTCAATTCCTGCAGTAAAAATGATGAAATATAATTCCATTTTGGTGTATCCATGGCAACTATCAGTAATCTGCATTTAATTGCTATAAACAGTATCAAACTATTGCGAAAAGGATGGGAAAGGGGTGAGAAAATGTCACATATTTTCCCAAAATTTGACCGAAAGCAGAATTTCAAACCCTTGGAGTAATACCATTTTTGAAACTATTTAAAATGTATCTATCAAGCGATCAAATCAAAATCATATGTCTTTCATTTTTTCGAAAATTTGCATAAAAAAAATTGTGTGAAAATGTGTTTTTAAACATTACAATTATTTCTGGACCTATGGAGGTGTTTAAAGACTTTGACTACCAATGAGGGTCTCACAAAGTTTACATTAAGATAAGCAGTCTTGGTTCAACTAGACTTAATAGTTTGGTTATGAATGAAAAATAATAAGTACTTTTTATAATTGTTTTAATCAATCAAAAAATTTAAACAAAAAAAAAATTCAATACCCTCCTCATTTTGTTTGTTTTATCTTTTTTAATTTTCAGAATAATTATTTAAAAAAATAATTATTCTGTTAGGGGAAACAACTCCACCGAAAAAAAAAAAAAAAAACATATATTGTTTTCCTAGATTTGTTCATGTTGGTTTTGTCTTACCAATTTAGTCAGTATGAACCGTTAAGGATTATCTGTCACTTTTAATATCATTATGCTGATTACAATCATCATGAATATTTGTACAATTTATTTTTTATGTTTATCAAAACATTTGAAAGTTATCACATCGAATCAAGCCTATTTACATTTTGCAGTATAGAATAAAATAAATGGGGAATGTGTCCATGGGACCTAGATGATGCCCCCGCTTGCATATAACCTTTTAAAGGGACATAACTCAAGAACGGTAAAAGTGACACTACCCAAATTTGTACTTGATCTGAGTTTTGTGGTAATAAGCATTGTGTATAAGTTTAATAACATTTGGTAGCGGCAAACTTAAGTAAGAGAATAAAAACGAGGATTTGGCAATTTTTCCATTTGTAAAAGGGGCATAACTCTAGAACAGTAAAAGTGAGGCCACCAAAATTCAAACTTGATCTGTGTTTTGTGGTAATAAGCATTACACATAAAGTTTCATAACATTTGTTTGAGGCCAACTAAAATTTGAGAACTGAAATGAAAATTTCAGCAATTTTTCCATTTGTAAAGGGGCATAATTCTAGAACGGAAAAAGTGACGCCACCAAAATTCTTGATCTGTGTTTAGTAGTAATAAGCATTGTGTATAAGTTTCATAACATTTGGTTGAGGCAAACTTAAGTTAGAGAACGGAAACGAAAAATTCAGCAATTTTTCCATTTGTAAAGGGGCATAACTCTAATTTTGGGACGTACGGACGGATGTACAGACGAACAAGGGTAAAACTTAATGCCCCCTCCTCTACGGCGGGGGCATAAAAATAATTATCAAAAATCTATGAAGCAATTTGACAGGGTTGGTTAACATATGCCTGTATGCTGTGGACATTGGGGCAATAGTCCTTATTGCTATTTGGAAACTGCTACATGTTCTTTACTTTTGACATGAGATTTTCTGACATTTGAAATATTGACATCAGACAACAGTTCCTTTTGGATTATGGCATTGATCAGACATTATCTTTTGTACTGTGACTGTGGTCACTTTATTAACTTGTTTAGACTATTTATTTGGGGAAATTGGCTAAAGTTAGTATGAATTAAAGTTCAGTAACTATTTTTTCGAGACCAGCCGTGTAAATATTCTTGTCTGGTTTCTTCCTACATGTATTTCTTGCACATGCCTAACATCCCGACTGGGATCGTCCCATTAAACTATAAAATTGTTGTCACTCACCGGGACATAGGACAGTCTACTGTTTAGGATTTGACATGAGCAGATGCTCATACTTTTGGCTATCAGTTCTGGAACATTTCATAAGGCAATGCTTAGTAGATAAGCCACAACCGTACTTTCATATCTATTGTATGTAAACTTGTGTTGTACATTGTACTATATGTCTTCTAAATAAACATCCTGTTTATACATTTATTTATATACGTCCAAGATCCAAGATCTTTGGTAGACAACAGGAAGACAAAGACAACAAAGCAGTAGAAAACCAACCGTACTGTCAAAATTTACAGAAATGTGTGTGATATCCAGTAAAATGCTGACAAAAAGCGATATCGTGTATGGAAAGAGAAACATGGGCACATATTTTCAAGTGTTAGGGCAGAGAGGTGTCGCCTGAGATGGGCAGGGTTAATAGTATCTAGTATATGTTTGTGGACTGTTGTCTCTCTGTCCATCTTCTTCAGTTATAAGTTTTTGCTCTTTTTTGTTTTCTTTCTTTGACATCAATTTTATGTTTTTTATCTGTTTATTTTCCCTTCATATATTTCATCTCCCTTGCATGAATTGGTTCAAATGTTTGAAGAAATGCTAGACATTTTAGATGTGTACCTTTAAGTCATTTTCGTCACAAATTTCGTTCACAATCCGGTCCATTTCTAGAAATCAATGCCAATTAAACGCTTAATAGAATCTTGTATTTCTATGTTCTTTTAAAACATTAGCAAGATTGCGCTTACGTGGAAACATAAAACAAGACCACATTCCGAGATGGAACGAATATAAAGCAGTCATGGAAAATACACATTTCATCCAAATTCATGTCTTTCTTAGAATAATATAAGAACAATTGATGTGACTAAATGTCTAGAATTGACATGAAATCTAACAATTTATGTTAAAGATTGCAAATTTGTCTTTACAGTCTCAAAATATAACATTACTCAGAGACTAATTTCCGGATTTCCTTAAAAAAAACAATATTTGACAAAAAAATTGTACTATAATAAAAATGTCACTTACAAGATGTCTTTGCTGTTTAAGAATGCTAAATGGCAATTCAGGACATATACCCTTGAAGGAAATTCCTACAGTACAACTTGACACCAATCACATGGGTAAATGCTTTTTAAAAATAATATCTGGTTTTTATCACAGGAATCAGAAATTCTATCAAGGTATCTGGGCATCTGAAAAATCGTTGGTAACTATAAAAAAAAACCTGATGATCTTTTGGAAGCCCCTTTACCTTACCATTGATAGAATATCAGATTTCTGTGTTTTTATAAATATTTCTGTAGTCCGAGTTTGCTCTGACGTCCAACGGCTTGCAAAACAGCTGTTGGAGGGTGCAGGTTGTTTCGTAACCTAGTCGTTTCGTACCTAGTCCATTCGTAACTAACTAGTTCGTTTTGTAACTGAGACGTTTCTTAACCTTATAACAATACATGTATATCATGATATGAGTTGTAGGTTATGGAAAAAATGTTTCGATTAAAAATAATAAAAAGACTTATTGGCACTCATACCACATCTTCTTAAATCTACTTATTGATGTATACATATCTATATTTATTTATTGAATAATTGATTGCACATAATTTTATACTTTACAAGTACAGTTTTGCATACAAAGGAATAGAATAGAAGAATTTAAAATGTCTGTCATCATTTAGATGTACCCCGTCTTTATCAAAGTATCATTTAGTCTTCTGCCAAGTGCATTGATGTCTCCAATACTTTACACCACTCATCTCTATTTTGCTTAGTTCTTTATTAATCTTCTTTTTTTTCTATCATAAGTTCTTTCTTTCATGTTTCTTGTTTTAGTCTGTCGATGTTGGAGCCTATATCACTACAGAAGGAACACCAAAGCACAAATTCGTCAAGACTTATATAATTTTACAAAGTTTTAAATTATTACAATATTGTTATTATTAAATAATAATAAGAACAAAAGACAAGCAATTTATTTTGGCTTTAATAATCATATATAAACAATTCTAAGAGATATATATACACTTCTAGAGACAAAACTAGTTACAAAATGTAATTGATTTATATATAAATATATATTTTCTTTAACTGTTTGATTTAAAATAATTAATTCAAACTAATAAAGACGCACTTTATTACCATATCTAATCACACCAGGTACGAAACGTTTCAGTTACAAATCAACGTAGTTACGAATCGACCAGGTACGAAACGACCAGGTTACGAAACGACTAGCAATCCTGTTGGAAGTCAGAGCAACCTGGGACTAACATTCCTGCAGTTTCCCATACATTTTGGAAGACACGATGATAATATGTTTTTACGTCACAGTAATCATTGATTGTTCAATAACATCATTTACAACAATTGACCTCATTCAAAAACTTGAGATATTAAAGTGAAATACGAAGATGTCATATGGCCCTTTAGTTTGTTTACCGTGAATATGGGTAAAAGTCCAATGGTAGCACTCCACAGTTAGGATATAAAATAAAAATTGACCCACAAAATTTTTAATAATCTTCTAGTCCAGGCATTATAATAGTTAATTTTCAACAGTTAAAACGGTGAAATATAATATCTTTTTTGCATATATATATATCTATGGCAACATTCTGCATAACCATAAAATATTGCAAAATGGGCATGAAAATGCCAAAAATAGGTTTCAAAGAAGAATTTCAATCCCAGTTTGAGTGATACCTTTTTTGAAACTATTGACAGAAAGATAATCTTTCAAATGGTCAAATAAAAATTGGGTGTCTTTTGTCTCAATCATTTTTTTGTAAAATTAAATCACTAAGTTCTTACGATAAAAAAGTGGGAAAAAAACAAATACAATAATTTCTGAACCAATGTCTCGAGTGTCATACAGAAAACAGCCCAAAATTCATACATTGTATATTACACAATCTTGATGTTTATATGATATCAAAAAGAAGATGTGGTATGATTGCCAATGAGACTTGTAACTCTCCACAAGAGACCAAATGACACAGAAATTAACAACTATAGGTCACTGTACGGCCTTCAACAATGAGCAAAGCCCATACTGCACAGTCAGCTATAAAAGGCCCCGAAATGACAATGTAAAACAATTCAAACGAGAAAACTTACGGCCAAATTTATGTACAAAAAATGAACGAATAACAACTATGTAACACATAATAAAAACGACAACCACTGAATTACAGGCTCCTGACTTGGGACAGGCACATACATACAGAATGTGGCGGGGTTAAACATGTTAGCGGGATCCCAACCCTCCCCTAACCTCGGACAGTGGTGTAACAGTACAACATAAGAAAGAACTATAAAAATAAGTTGAAAGAGGCTTAACTCATCAGATGGATAAAAATACAAATACTACAAATACAAGTGGACGTGGCCGGGTACTTGTACATCCAAATGACACTAAGTACAGATCTGAGAGTACTTGCAGTTACTGACAGCTAGTTCAAAGCCACTAACAACTAATAAAAAAAAATCATGCATCTAAGACTAAATAAACCCATTTTGTAGGCTATATTAATCTTCAGCTATCAAAAATGAATTTTAATGCCCACTAACTTTCATATTTGAAAAATCCACTGGACCAAAATGAAAAACCACACACCTAACTGTGGAGTACTACTCTTTGATTTGATTGTAAGCTAGACAGATTTGTTTGTCCCTCAAGTTTGTTCACTTAGCATAGTTTGAATGAAATGCACAACATATATTTTTCATGTTGGGACCAATCACCCAAATGGTTTATAATATCCTGTTTGGGATATAATACCAAAAATGGGATACAAATGGGTGCAAAAAGCTTTTGCATTTAAGTGTAAAATATAACAAAGTGCAAGAGTAACAATAAGAAATAATTATTGCTACTTCCAAGACTAACTTTCGAAAAATATGATGTTCCCTTTTCCCAAATGGGGTGGATTATAATAACTCACTTTAGAGTGGCACTTCCTGCACATCCAGTATGTAGCCTTATGTGACATTGTGATTTTGTGACATTTACGGAAAAGTGCACAAATTTGAAAGTCGTCTAAAGTGTGACATTTTGATTTTGTGACATTTATGAAAGTCGTCTAAAGTTTAGACGACTTTCAAATTTGTGCACTTTTCCGTAAATGTCACAAAATCAAAATGTCACATAAGGCTACATACTGGATGTGCAGGAAGTGCCACCAAAATAAATATCTAAAAGAATTCTAAATATGTATAAATGTGCTTTCAATTTATCGTTGCTATGTTCAATAAATAGATTTTTATTCATATAAATTTTTTTCAAATATATGTAAAACAGCGTATACATACGAAAAACAGTACAAAAAAGCCAAAGGCTTCAAACAAAAAAGCCAGATTCTACACAAAACAAAAGACATAATTTGCAAATACAAAATTTTGCAGGGAACATTAAAAAATGATATTATTGTAGCTGCGATTTCCATATGAAATTGGGTCCCTGTCCGGAGACACATTTCAGCAATTAGTCTCAGAAGTAACAATAATTATTTCTTATTGTTACTTTTTGAGGGTAAGAGTAGCCAGTGCTTACATGAAACAGGTAATCTCATAATGGGTATTATCCTCATTATAATGGGTATTATTTTTGATTGAGTTAAGCCATTTCAATTGATATTTTATAGTATGTCTTTCTATGTTGTGATGTTACACTATTGTTTCAGATAAGGGTGAAGGTTTGGTACCATTAATACGTTTAAACCCGCTGCAATTGTTTGCACCTGTCCTAAGTCAGGAATCTCATGTTCAGTAGTTGTCGTTTGTTGATGTGGTTCATAAGTGTTTCTCGTTTCTTGTTTTTTTATATAGATTAGACCGTTGGTTTTCCCGTTTGAATGGTTTTACACTAGTAATTTTGGGGGCCCTTTATAGCTTGCTGTTCAGTGTGAGCCAAGGCTCCATGTTGAAGACAGTACTTTGACCTATAATGGTTTACTTTTATAAATTTTGACTTGGATGGAGAGTTGTCTCATTGGCACTCATACCACATCTTCTTATATCTATTAAACCAAAATTCAGGTATCAATTTTCAGTGAAGAACAAAATTTAATTTTGTATTTCAGGATAATGGCTGTAATGGTTCATACATTCATGTCAATTTTCACCTTAAAATTATTAATATTTTTTAAGAAATTAAAACTAAAATTTTGATTCAGATAACAATTTTAAGCTGTTCTTTAAATGGCAATAAAAAATAAAAAGAAAATTTCCTATTGGCAGATTTTCTGTTATTTTTGTAAATTTATACTAATCAGTTTATCACTATTTTTTTATGGTAAAATGTAGAAATGGACACATGTTTAACATTTCAGGTAATGATGTTGTGATTGTGAAAAATGGTAAAAGAATATGTGGAACAGGAGCAGCATTGTCAAATGCTCCTATAGCACAAGATAAAGCTTACTTTGAAGTTAAGCTACAGAGTACAGGTAATTATAAGATAAATTTTGACACCAAATATTATTTATTATCAACAGTCGGAAAGCTGACCCGAGTTTAACTGAATTTTTGAAAACAACAAATTTACAATGGAGACCAAGTGATTACTATATTTGGAATTTTTTACCCAAAAAAATTAAAGCCAAACTTTTTGATACATGTTTTATACATGTATGAAAAATACTTTGCTTTTGAGTGGACATTCTCAAGAATATAAGTGATCAATTGATCTACTAAGAATAAGAATATATGCTCGCTTACACAATAAACTATTTTAAGTTCGTAAACTGTTGTGACTGGAAATAAAGAAAGACATTTTTATAAGACCGCAAAATTTTTGCCGTCTTATAATGGTATGACGTTGTCGTCGTCCGAAGACATTTGTTTCCGGACAATAACTTGAGTATAAGTGTATGGATCTCTATGAAATTGTACCACTAGGTTCCAAACCTCAAAAGGAAGGTTGTGATTGATTTTGGGGGTTATGGCCCCCCAAACCGTTAAGGAATTAGGGACCAAAAACAAGCAATTTTCTTGTTTCAGGACAATAACTTGAGTATTAGTGTATGGATCTCAATGAAATTGTACCACAAGGTTCCATACCTCAAAAGGAAGGTTGGGATTGATTTTTGGGGTTATGGCCCTAACTATTTAGTAGAAAAGGGCCAAAAACAATACTTTTCTAATACAATTACTTATTTCTTGACCAATTTCAATGGGGTTTAATTCAAAGTCTTGAATTCTTGGGGTTCTTTGATATGCTGAATCTAACCATGTGTATAGATTTTGGATTTTTGGCCCTGTTATCAAATTGGTCCACATTGAGGTCCAAAGGGTCCAAACTTAAACTTTGTTTGATATCATCCAAAATTGAATTCTTGGGGTTCTTTGATATGCTGAATCTAACCATGTATTTAGATTTTGGAAATTGGACCATAATAGGTAAATGTCATATTTTCAAATTTTTGAGTTCTTAGACCACATTCATTTTGTGTCAGAAACCTATGCTGTGTCAAATAGTTAATCACAATCCAAATTCAGAGCTGTATGAAGCTTGAATGAATGTTGTGTCCATACTTGCCCAAACTGTTCAGGGTTTGACCTCTGCATTTGCATCAAGCTGTGCCCTGCAGAATATATCGAATCACACGATTTGGAGTTGCATAAATAAATGGCAATCAAAATACCCCCTTCCCTCTCCAAAGTATTTTCAGATGTGAAGAAAGCAATGTGTACCACAATTTGGTTGCTTTTGGTTTAATTGCTCCTTACCCTTAATACCTTGATTCAAGTTGAGCATACATGGATGATTATTTTATGAAATGATAGATATTCTAAAAATCCTTGTAGTAAGCCACTTAAGTTGACAAGTTTCTTTGAAAGATTCTTTTCAATATAAATTGAATTTAGCTTGAGCATTGATCACATGAAACTGGGAGTAAAGAAAGCGTCTTACCTTTGTGTCATGCTACAAAGAGGGGAATTAATCCACACAAACTTTCATTGCACGAAAAAGTATAACAAAATACTGAACTCCAAGGCAATTTCAAGAAAGGGGGGGGGAGTTTAAAAAAAATGTCAAAATCAAACCTTATCAATCAATGGAATGAGTGTATATCAAATTTTGCCTTTGCATTTCAGGTGAAAACACACTTAAAATCTAATTAGTATACTGTGGATTCATTATAAAATCGTTGGATACAAATGTTCGTGGATTCATTATAAAATCGTTGGATACCAATGTTCGTGGATTCATTTTAAAATCGTTGGATACCAATGTTCGTGGATTCATTATAAAATCGTTGGATACAAATGTTCGTGGATTCATTATAAAATCGTTGGATACCAATGTTCGTGGATTCATTTTAAAATCGTTGGATACCAATGTTCGTGGATTCATTATAAAATCGTTGGATACCAATGTTCGTGGATTCATTATAAAATCGTTGGATACCAATGTTCGTGGATATAGGGGAACCATGAATTTAAATGTTCAACAAATTAAGATTTTTCTATAGGAATGTATACAGAATCTGTCAAAACTATGAATTCAATTATCCATGAAAATTGGTTCCCACAAAAATAAATGAATCCACAGTAATTCAGTTTAAGATATATATCATTTGCTTGTTGACATCAATGTGCGAGAGGAATGAAATACAATATATATTTCACAAAAAGTCTTCACGATTAAGTTAAAACAGGTTTTATTAAGGGTTACGAAAACAGGAGAAATGATATTGTTTCTAGACTCCAACACTAAGTACGAACTAGAAATCAGAAATTTGCTACCAATTGTTTTTTCTGCGAAAGCAACATTAAGAAGGAATGGGAGCCTTATTTATGTGACCTATTGTTGTCTTTAGAATGGACTTACTATGGTCTTACTCTCCAACTGTCAAAATCTTTGTTTAATATGATATTTGAAAAGAAAGCTTAATACCAAAATTTATGATAAAAGAGATGATTTTTCATTTCCTATTGTTAATTATCCATTTTTAGATCGTGACGTTCCCTTGTCACCATCTTATGGTGTTTATATATCTCAACTTGTTCGATTTGCTCGTGTATGTAACAACGTATTTGATTTTAACGAAAGAAATCTCTGTATTACTGAAAAATTATTACACCAGGGTTTTCGATATCACAAACTAGTCAAAACATTTACTAAATTTTATCATCGGTACAAGGACATCATTCGTAAACATAAATCAACATGCAGACATCTTATAAGTTCAGGTATTTCACATCCAATCTTTTATGGTAATGTTCTATACAAAGCACAAAAATGTCGACATTCACCTCAAAAGCTAACCAAACCTTTAAGCAGACTTATTCAAAAGAGATATGGTTACAATACTGTTGTCAGATCATTAAAGATGGCATATTTTGGTATTAATATTGATTCACTCATAGGGTCTTTGCATCGGAAATAAACACATTTATTCTAAAACCAGTTGTTGGCATGGTATGGGTTATATGTTCTTCTCATATATTTTATGATGGTATGATACTAAAGCCCTAACGGGAGGGATTGTGCTTGATTTTCATATGATGAAGACATAATCTTTCAATCAGTTAAATTGAGGTCTGGAGCTGGCATGTCAGTAACTGCTAGTAGTCACTTGTTAATTAATGTATCATTGTCATTTTGCTTAGTTTCTTTTGTTACCTATTCTGACATCGGACTCCGACTTCTTTTAAACTGAGTTTTACTGTGCGTATTGCTGTGTGTTTGTTTATTCTACATTGGCTAGAGGTATAGGGGGAGGGTTGAGATCTCACAAAACATGTTTAACCCCGCCATATTTTTGCGCCTGTCCCAAGTCAGGAGCCTCTGTCCTTTGTTAGTCTTGTATGTTTTTATACGCCCGTTTACGGGACGTATTATGGTATACCGTTGTACGTCTGTCTGTCCGTCCGTCCGTCATCAACATGTCGGACATTAACTCAAAAAACACTTTAACTAATTTGCTTAAAACTTTGGTGAATTGTTTATATCTATTGACGTGAGCTCCCTTTCGTTTTTTATAAATTTTAGATTTTACGTTTCCAAGTTATGGGGTTTTATTCATTAAAAAAAGGGGGATTTTCCAGTTTTCGGACAATAACTCAAGAATGCTTTCACCAACTTGCAAGAAATTTTGGTTAATTATTTATATCTATTGACATGAGCTCCCTTTGGATTTTTATAAATTTTAGATTTTACGTTTCCGAGTTATGGGGTTTTATTCATAAAAAAAAAGGGGATTTTCCAGTTTTCGGACAATAACTCAAAAATGCTTTCAGCAGTTCTCATGAAACTTTGATGAATTGTTGATATCTATTGATGTAAGCTCCCTTTAGAATTTTATAAATTTTAGATTTTACATTTCCGAATTATGGGGTTTATTCATTAAAAAAGGGGGATTTTCCAATTTTCAGACAAAAAAACTCAAAAATGCTTTCAGCAATTCGTATGAAACTTTGGTGAACTGTTTATATCTATTGATGTAAGCTCCCTTTAGAATTTTATAAATTTTATTTGTTTATAGTCTGACAACAGATTTACTAAGTATTGCGCAACAGCACAGTGTATTGCACAACAGCAAGAAATCTTTAATTGAATATAAATTCAATTCATATAACCAACTTCAAGTTCTTTGACTACATTTATTCAGAAACCTATAATAGATGTATGTCAAATATTTAATTACAATCCAAATTCAGACCTGTATCAAGCTTGAATATTGTGTCCATTTTTGCCCCAACTGTTCAGGGTTAGACCTCTGCAGGCGTATCCAGCTGCGCTTAGCGAAGCAGTTTATTTTAATTTTAGTTCATTTATATGTTTTGGAGTTCGGTGTGACGTCCATTTCATTGAACGAGTACACATTTTGTTTAGGGGCCAGCTGAAGCCCGCCTCCTGGTGCAGGATTTTCCATTGTTTTCTGCTCTTTGGACGGGTTGTTGTCTCTTTGACGCATTCCCCATTTCCATTCTCAATTTTATATGTTGTGTTCATTTTTCCTTTCTTGAGTCATCAATTTTCAACCATCACAAAACAGGAAGACAAAAGGCCTTAAACATTTGCCAAATTGAGTTCAAGATTAATTGCTTGTTGTTCACATAATGTCCAGTGGCAAATGTTCATGCATACTCAGGATGAGAACAAATTAAACTTATTGGATGAAGGAAAGATGTCTTTACACTAAATCTGTTGGGTGTACTTTAGTCAGGGAGAACATGATTTCTTTATTAGTTGTAATTGGCTTTCAACTAGCTTTCAGTAACTGTGAGTACTCTTAGATCGGTACTTTGTGTCTTTAAAATTTTTGTTATATTCTTTTTGTCTTTCGTACCAACATGACCAATCTGATGGCAAGCCATTTCCAACTGATTTTTCCAATTTGATCTTATGTTGTGCTGGTTACACCACTGTCCCAGGATAGGGAAGAGTTGAGCACTCATAAACATGTTTAACCACACTACATTCTTTATGTGCCTGTCCCAACCTTAATTTGCTAATATCTGCATCATTTAGACTCAGGCGGATAGTTTTCTCATTGGCAATCATACCATAACTCCTTATTTTTATATAAATTCACCTCTTTTCAGTTTGAAAAACACATAACAAGGGATTTAATTTAAAGCACATTTTCGTTTGTAACATCTTGTTACATATATACTGATGTATAAATCCATCTAAACAAAACATAGAACATTTTCTGAAATTTTATTGAACATGAACCACAAACAAAAATCATTCAAAAACAATTTATAATAATATTTTCTAACAAATTATTCTAGCAATTTTTTTTTATTTGAAAAAAAAATCTTTTCCTACAAGAGTCATCTTATTTTTTCCCTTTGATGCACTCAATCTGGCACTTTGTATACATGAGGAAAAGGAAAATGAAAAACACAATCAATATCTCCCAGAAATTCCGTTATATTTAATGAAGAAATGGCAATCATTTCAAATTCAATATGTATAAAGGGGCATAACTCTAACAAACACATTTAATTGTATGTGCAGCAACAAGATAACAATTTAATATGAAAGAATTTCTATCATTGCATGTTTACATATTAGATAAAAGGGTCTGAATGGGGTTTACAGAATAGAGAATAATGGCCAAAATAAAATAATGAATAGAGAAAAATGGGCAAAAAATATAAAGAATAGAGAAATTCAGAATAATGGGGTGTATAAGTATAAAGAATAACTGTGGAAAAAATAAAGAATGAGGTATTAATACAATACTGATTACAGAAATGAATGAAAGAAATCATATGGTTACAGAAAATATTAATAGTAAAATCATTTTCATGAGAATTTTGCAGAATAAGCATTATTTTTAAAGATGAAGAAAAAGGCCCTTGAAATTTAAAGAATATAGACATTGAGACCCCCATCCATACCCTCATATAACTATGCCTTCTTGTAATAATTTTGTTGCACTCCTTCTTAATATAATTGACAACAACAGACAATTCATTAAAAGAAGATTACTGGGGATTCATTTATTTTCATGGGTACCAATTTTCGTGGATTGATAGAAAAATTGTATTAGTATGTAATATTTGAATTTTTGATTTTTTCAGTCTGTATACAAGCTTTTAGATAATTTGTGTTTTGTTGAACATCTAAATTCATTGTTTACTTTTACCCTCAAAATCCACAAAAATTGGTATCCCATGAATATTAATGACTCCAAAGATTCAAATTCAGTTTCATAGCTTTTGGTATTTTCATATTCAAGTGCAATGCAAATTATTCTATGAAATACATTTTATTTTAAGGGGAACTAACTTTTCTTTGAACAATACTGTTCAAGAAAAGCACATTGATTTATGCAGTTACACATTCCTGGCTCCAGCAGTCATAATCATAGTATATAACTATCATGAGAGAGGCTATTTTTGTAAAAATTCTTCACACAAATATAAGGATATTAAGCATTTTCTTTTTGGAATTTTGTGCAGTGGCGGATCCAGAAATTTTCATAAGGGGGCCCACTGACTGCCTAAGAGGGGGCCTGCTCCAGTCATGCTTCAGTGATTCCCTAAATAATCAACCAATTTTTTTCCCCAAATAGGGGGGGGGGGGGGGCCCGGGCCCCCTGGAAAACCCTTTAAATCCGCCACTGTTGTGCACATATACATTCATTGTATGCACATACAAATTCTATTTGCAAATTATTCTTTAAATACAGAGTTTAGCAATCAAAATTTTATCAACACACTCTCCATCTTCATGACTGGCAATATATAATTGATCGTCTTGGTCAATGTGTAGACAGTGGGGGTTATTTATACCTTCTTCTTCACCAAACATTGTTAGAAACTCTCCTTCCATTGATACCACATGAATGCTGTAATCAAACCTATTCAGCACCAGAATTAAACCATTTGAAGTTGTTTCAATGTGAGAAGGTCCAAAGAAAAAAGATTCCACTCCAAAATATACCCATTTAAACTGGCCCGTGCGGTCAAGAGCAACAACCTTTCCTTGAAGGCTCTCGTAACAATCACCACTCATTATTAATATATCTCCATTAATATTTGTAGTAAGTTTCCATGGAATTTCTCCGTCATCATAATAAAGTTCTTCATATTTTTTAATTTCTCTTTTTACACCTGGTGCCTTCAAAGTTACAATAACATTTCCTTGCATATCCAAAATCAAGACACTTAATATGTCTGGGCTGTCATATCCCACAAATATATTGTGGCTAGTTGCATGAATTCCCCTTAAAATAACTTTAGGCTTTATTGTGGTAATTTTTTCTATTTGTCCATTTGCTTTAGCACACATAATGTCAGCGGGTTTTACTGATGCCTGAGATGTGTCAGAAATAGTAAATAAAATATCACCAGTTTCACATACAGTCATATTTTCAATAGGCAACTTTTCAAATATTTTCGTTTCAATAGGGACAACTTCAGAATCAGTAAAGTACATGTATCTTAATGTACAACCTTCTCGTGCAACAATTGAGCCATCTGGTAGAGATTTCATAAGAGTTGTATAAGAAATGTCAGTGTCAAAAGTCTGCAATATATGTAAAGTTGGAATTTTGATTAAGGATCCAAATTTTATACTGCTCTGCGGCTCATGAGGAAATGTAAATGCAAATGTATTATCAGAAATTTCCATTGCCTTCTTATCCAAAGGGTTCACATCAATTTTTGCAATAGTATCCAAAACAGATATTGCTAAGCAGGATTGAAAAGTTTCACATATTTTTACCTTTCTTTGTTTTATAATATCAATATTGGATGTAAACTTTTCTTTTTGATCTAAAAGTTCTTTTTCTTTTAATGCATAAGTTTCATCAAGTTTTTTTATTAATGTTTTGGCCTCATTGCTGACCATTTCTTTCATTTTATTTTCCCTTTCTTCAATTCTGAGTTTGATTTCATTGTAATACTCCAAATTAGCTGGCAGGATTAGTTCATATATCTTTTTTATATTGTCATTTAAAAACTTTACGTCCTTGTCTGTGGTGACCATTACTTGACAAAGTTTTGAAATCTGATTTTCATAGGCATTTTCAATTTTGACAACTTCATGAGAGGCATGGAGAGGAGCACAGAACAGACAGCCTGGTTTTAAACACATCTTACAGTAAATTGAACACTTTTCCTTATGTTTCAAACACCATATATTTCTTGGATCTAGTCTGTGAATCACCTCAGCTGCCTCTTTAATGTCTGTAATGAAATGCTCCTTTAAGGCTTCACTTTTAGTGTGAATTCTGTCTTTACATTTATCACATAAATTCAGTTCACAGTTAAAACATTTCCACTTGATTTCATGAGAACTTTCACAAAACTGACAAGGCATGTAATTTTGCGCCATTTTTCCTTTTGATAAATATCACACTGCTTTAAATGTTTCTAGTTGGTTTGATGTGTAAAGCAATTGATTCAGATTGCATTTCAAGTCTCTTTTTACCAGTGTACCTCTTTTTCTGTTTGAAAATTGAGTGACCATAACCTCTGTATAAAAAAAAAATAGGAATTAGATGTAAAATATATCATATGAAATGTTGTCTGAACTAAAATATCTGATGGCCTGTTTTAAGATACATGTAATGGTTGGGGTCACTGCCTCAGGGGACTCAACCAGTTCCAAAACTACATCAAGGCAATCTTGGACTGAAATAAATGATACTTTTAAACAATGCTTATCAAGTTGGTAAATTTAATGTAGCAGTAGTTTACATATGTTCAAATCTCATAAATTTATAAGGGAGCTACCATTTGATTTTTATGGGGGGCTAGGATGAAAAATTGTGTCCTGCATTTTTTTTTAATTGTAATCTCTGTCCTGCCTTTTTATTTTTCACTCTGTTCGGTCCTGCCTTTTTTTTTAAAGTTTATCCTGACTTTTTTTTACCTAAATTGTCATCCTGACTTTTTTTTTTTGGAAGTGTCTTATCCTGCCTTTTTTTTTACTCAAAAATCCTGTCCTGCCTATTTTTTTCAAATTTCATCCTAGCCCCCCCCCATAAATATCAAATGGTAGCTCCCTAAGATACAAATCAAGGTAAAAAAACTGAGGGAATCACAATGACTCTAAAAGGAGCAAGAAAGGGTGCATCAACAGGGTAAGCCTCTCTTGCAATGCATGCATGCATCAAACACTATGCATATCCACACTCTGACAGTTAAAATGTCACTATTGGAAATAGGACACAATGGGTAAATTTACAGATTAGACGACTATTTTAGTATCAAAAGACCACAAAAAACATGTTGCTGTTGAGTTGAGACACAGAGACATCATATAAGTTAACCAATTTATAATGATAACTGTAAAACTGAACATTCGGATCATCATGACCTACATTTTACACTTAGTTAACTGATAATAAGTTTAGCAAAGATTGCTGTGGTATACTTTTCTCATAGATCTTTTGAAGTAGGGCACCATATCATCTATTTTTGTAATAATCATGCTATTTTAGGTTGTTAATTTATATTTATTTAGGTGTATGGGGAGTTGGTCTTGCCACAAAGAGATGTAATGTAAATACAGTACCACTAGGACAAGATAGTGATTCATGGGTTGTCAATCATGATGCTGTTATGTACCATAACAAAGAACAAAAAGGAACTATGAGTCAGAGCTTAAATGAAGGAGATATTTTGGTAATAATATATATATACTATTGGAAAAGAAGTATTCAGATCTGAATTAAAAATATTTGGCCTAACTCAAAAATTTGTGAGTGAGGTTCATGTGCAACAAACTGAATGAAACAATCAAAGACCCAAAAGCCATGTTGTTATTATTATACCACCACTCAAGGAGTAAGTGCTATATTGCAATTAGTCTGTCTTTTTTGTCTGTTGGTCCAACAAATAAATATTGTCATACTTTTCTCAGAAACTACTAAATTACTAGAATAACCAGGACTTCATATTTGGTCAGCAGTTGTACCATTGAAAAAAGGACGAATCCACAATCAAAGTTTCCATATTATTTATTACTAAGAAAATATTAATAAATGTAAATTTTGTGAAGAATAATTTTTTTGTAAAAGAGTCTATGAGATATTGTATAAAATAATTTATTAGTTGAACTGAGCCCTTTTACTCTCACTACAATAATCTAAATCCCAGAATGGGTATGTATAATTATGCTGAGGCAACTTAAATGGTTCAGACTTTACTCTTATTAAACGTTGAGAGTGAAGTTTGTTCCCTAATATTGCTACATTGAATTGTTTTCCAAACTTAGAAATAGATTATCATGTTCTTCAAATATTACTTAAAAAGTTGTGAGTATGTTACTATGATATTACAATTAATTTTCTTTTCAGGGGATAACATATGACCATGTTCATTTAAACTTTTACTTGAATGGCCAGCCTATGAATTGTCCCTTCTCTGGAATGAAGGGAACTGTTTTTCCTGTGTTTTATGGTAGGTATTACTGGTATACATTTTCAAGAAAAATGTTTTAAAGGTCTAAAAAAAATCAAAATGCTGTTATGAGGGTCCTTTAATTCTGTGTTCATTAAAATTTTATGCCAATTTTCTCATTTCTTCATGTTCTTTATAAATTTTGCACATTGTTCTCTACAATTTATAATTTAGAAGTATTGGCCTATTATTCTCTATTCTGTAAACCCCATCCAGACCCTCTCTTTTATGAAACTTTACAATCATATTCTTAATAAGTACATGTTTTTTCAATGGCAAATAACTATATTGTATTTTGGTTTTCCCATGTGGTTTTGGTGATTTATTATACCCCAAGCAAATTTTTTGCGAAGGGTATAATGTTTTTGACCCGTCTGTCCGTCCGTCTGTCCGCCCGTCAGTCCGTCAGTCCTGTTTCTTGTCATCGCAACTCCTCTCAAACCACACAACAGAATTTCATGAAACCTTTTTAGATAATAAGGACATACTATGTAGATGTGCATATCGACAGGAAATTACGATTCAATTTTTTTTCTAGGAGTTACACCCCTTTGAACTTATTTGCTTCAATGTACTTCTGCAACGGTTTGTCATCGCAACTCCTCTGAAACCACAAAACAGAATTTCATGAAACTTTGTAGATAATAAGGACATACTATGTAGATGTGCATATTGACAGGAAATTATGATTCAATTTTTTTTACTTACACTTATTTTATTTCTCCAATGACAATGTGGGGACGTGGGGTATGTGAGCGCGCTCACTAAGGTTCTTTAATTGATTCTTTTTTTAAAACCATCTTGAACAGCGCAAATGGCTACTGTTTCTATTTGTAATTTTATGACATGTTGTCTGAAGCACAGTTGTCCCATGAACCCTTTACAACCCATACAACAATCTCCCAATAACCAAAAAAAACCTAATTAACCTTATATCTCAACATCTAACCTGAGTGATACAGGATGGATAGAAGCCAGGGCGGATCCAGCCATTTATAAAAGGGGGGTTCCTAACCCAGGATAAAGGGGGGTTTCGACTATATGTCCCCATTCAAATGCATTGATCGTCAAAAAAAATGGGGGGTTCCAACCCCCGGAACCCCCCCGGATCCGCCACTGGAAGCACTGATCAGAAAACATAATCTTCTCTACTTTTGAAGGAAGGGCATAAAAATAGATTATTGTCTGCCAATCAAAATAACAGAATCTTATGAAAAATCTGTTATTATTATTGAAAACAAGAGGGAAAAAAAATATACATCTGACTGACAATGGAAAGATGATATGAATTGTAGGTAATGACATGTATGTGTAATACGAGCAAATTTGAAAGTCCTGCAGCAAGATTAAGAGAAGATGAGTTGCTGTAAACTAAATAATTTTTGCGAGCAATTTTTTTTTACACGCTTTTCACAAGTAGAATAAATTACTTCGCCGAGCGCAGCTGGATACGACTGCAGAGGTACAACCCTGAACAGTTGGGGCAAAAATGGACACAATATTCACGCTTGATACAGGTCTGAATTTGGATTGTAATTAAATATTTGACACATAATAGGTTTTTGACACAGAATAACTGTAGTCAAAGAATGTACAATTGGTTATATGATTTGAATTTATATTCAATTTTTTGCTTTTGTGCAATACACTATGCTGTTGCGAATTGACCCCCACCCCCCCAAAAAAAAAAAACAAAAAAAAATTTACCCCCATATTTTTTTCCTTTTGTGCAATACATTATGCTGTTGTGAATCCCCCCCCCCCCAAAAAAAAAGTTAACCCCCCCCCCCCCCCCCCCTTTTGCAAAAAAAAAAAATAATATTGAAGAAATTATCTTTTTATATATTGGTATGACGTTGGTGTCGTCGTCGTCCGAAGACACATTGGTTTTCGCACTCTAACTTTAGTTTAAGTGAATGGATCTCTTTGAAATTTTACCATAAGGTTCAATACTACAAAAGGAAGGTGGGGATTGATTTTGGGGGTTATGGTACCAACAGTTAAGGAATTATGGGCCAAAAATAAGCATTTTCTAGTTTCCAGACAATAACTGTGGAACGGTGTATGGATCTCTCTGAAATTATACTACAAGTTTCCATACCACAAAGGGATGGTTAGGATTTGCTTTGGGGGGTTATGGCTCAAACCGTTTAGGAATTAGGGGCAAAAAAGGGGGAAAAACAAGGTTGTCCTGGTTAATGGACAAATACTTTAGTACAAAACATAATTTAAAGCAGTGTAAGGGAGATAAATCAAATACATCATTGAAATTATCTCCCTTACACTGCTTTTAAATTATGTATAAAGTAATGGTTAATGAACAATTAAGATAATTTAAAACAGTGTAAGGGAGGTAATCCAAATACAACGTTCTGGTTACTTCCCTTACACTGCTTTTAAATTATGTTTAAAGAAATGCATATTTATAAAGGAAGACCAGTAATAATATCTGCAAATGTTGCATCTTTTTTTTTACAAAAAAATCCATATGAAAGATTTGACACTATATTTTAAATTCTATTATAAAATAGATAAGTTAGCACTATGGTAAATTTAAATGGGTAATTATGGTTGCAAACTACATTGGAAATTTGATTGAGATTATGACCATATCTTGAGTGAAAGAATTTTTGGGGGGAAAAAAAGGGGGGGGGGGGGTAAACAGAAATTGTGGGGGGGTCAATTTTTTCTCATTTCAGATGTCAGAAATTAAAAAGAATTATTCTTCAAATATTTTTTTTTTTTTCAAATTTCAAATATTGAAAAATTTCAAGAAGTAATCTTTAATTGCACAGTATGGCGCATTAGATTTGTAAAATCTTTGACCACATTTATTTATTTGTTTTGCCGAATCTAACCGTGTATTTAGATTTTTAATTTTGGGTCCAGTTTTCAAATTGGTCTACATTAAGGTCCAAAGGGTCCAAAATTAAACTTTGTTTGATTTTAACAAATATTGAATATATGGGGTTCTTTGATATGCTGAATCTAAACATGTATTTAGATTTTTGATTTTTGGCCCAGTTTTCAAGTTGGTCCAAATTGGGGTCCAAAATTAAACTTTGTTTGATTTCAACAAAAATTGAATATATGGGGTTCTTTTTGATATGCTGAATCTAACCATGTATTTAGATTTTTTATTTGTGGACCCCGCTATCAAATTGGTTCATATTGAGGTCAAAAGGGTCCTAAATTAAACTTCGTTTGATTTCATCAAAAATTGAATTATTGGGGTTCTTTGATATGCCAAATCTAACCGTGTATTTAAGATTTTTAATTTTGGGTCCTGTTTTTTTAAATTTGTCTACATTAAGGTCCAAAGGGTCCAAAATTAAACTTAGTTTGATTTTAACAAAAATTGAATTCTTGGGGTTCTTTGATATGCTGAATCTAAACATGTGTTTAGATTTTTTATTATGGGCCCAGTTTTCAAGTTGGTCCACGTTGGGGTCTAAAATTAAACTTTGTTTGATTTCAACAAAAATTGAATATATGGGGTTCTTTGATATGCTGAATCTAAACATGTATTTAGATTTTAGATTTTTGGGCCAGTTTTCAAGTTGGTCCAAATTGGGGTCCAAAATTAAACTTTGTTTGATTTCAACAAAAATTGAATATATGGGGTTCTTTGATATGCTGAATCTAACCATGTATTTAGATTTTTTATTTGTGGGCCCGCTATCAAATAGGTTCATATTGAGGTCAAAAGGGTTCAAAATTAAACTTTGTTTGATTTCATCAAAAATTGAATTATTGGGGTTCTTTGATATGCCAAATCTAACCGTGTATTTAGATTTTTAATTTTGGGTCCGGTTTTTTAAATTGGTCTACATTAAAATCCAAAGGGTCTAAAATTAAACTAAGTTTGATTTTAACAAAAATTGAATTCTAGGGGTTCTTTGATATGCTGAATCTAAACATGTGTTTAGATTTTTGATTATGGGCCCAGTTTTGAAGTTGGTCCAAGTTGGGGTCCAAAATTAAACTTTTTTTGATTTCAACAAAAATTGAATATATGGGGTTCTTTGATATGCTGAATCTAACCATGTATTTAGATTTTATTTTTTATTTGTGGGCCCGCTATCAAATTGGTTCATATTGAGGTCAAAAGGGTCCAAAATTAAACTTTGTTTGATTTTAACAAAAATTGAATATATGGGGTTCTTTGATATGCTGAATCTAAACATGTATTTAGATTTTTGATTTTTGGCCCAGTTTTCAAGTTTGTCCAAATTAGGGTCCAAAATTAAACTTTGTTTGATTTCAACAAAAATTGAATATATGGGGTTCTTTGATATGCTGAATCTAACCATGTATTTAGATTTTTTATTTGTGGACCCCGCTATCAAATTGGTTCATATTGAGGTCAAAAGGGTCCAAAATTAAACTTTGTTTGATTTTAACAAAAATTGAATATATGGGGTTCTTTGATATGCTGAATCTAACCATGTATTAAGATTTTATTTTTTATTTGTGGGCCCCGCTATCAAATTGGTTCATATTGAGGTCAAAAGGGTCCAAAATTAAACTTTGTTTGATTTCATCAAAAATTGAATTATTGGGGTTCTTTGATATTCCAAATCTAACCATGTATTTAGATTTTATTTTTTATTTGTGGGCCCCGCTATCAAATTGGTTCATATTGAGGTCAAAAGGGTCCAAAATTAAACTTTGCCTCAAGATATGGTCATAATCTCAATTCAAATTTCCAATGTTTGCAACCATAATTATACATTATAAAAGTCTTAAAATAGAAAATGACATACATAATCATGGCTAAAATTAATATTCCTTAATCAGCATTTTTAATAGTAACTTCTAAAAATAAATTGACAGCTAAGCACCTCAAGACAATACAACATTTCTTTATACATAATCTAAAAGCAGTGTAAGGGAGGTAATCCAAACATAACATTGTACTTTTAAGTAATTGTCCATTCACCAGGAAACCCTTGTTTTTTCCCCTTATTCGTAAACAGTTTTGAGCCATAACCCCCCGCCTTCCAAAGCCAATCCTAACAATCCCTTTGTGGTATGGAAACTTGTGGTCTAATTTCAGAGAGATCCATACACCTTACCACAAGTTATTGTCTGGAAACTAGAAAAATGCTTATTTGGGCCCCTTTTTGGCCCCCAATTCCTAAACTGTTAGGACCATAACCCCCAAAATCAATCCCAACCTTTCTTTTGTGGTTATAAACCCTGTGTTTAAATTTCATAGATTTATATTTACATATACTAAAGTTATTGTCCGGAAACCAAATGTCTTCGGACGACGACGAAGTGATACCAATATATGACCGCAAAATTTTTTGCAGTCGTATAAAAATAACACAAAGTTAAATCGTTACAAATATGTGGAACTTGGATCTTTCCTTACATAAATATATCAAGATAATGAAAAGATCGGGAAAATAAATTGCACTGAATTTGGCCAGAAAGAACTTGAAGCAAAATTAAGTATGCATGAAAATAAGTTAGTTTACAGTAATAGACATCAGTAAATCCTCATCACTGGTATCCCACGAATATTAATGAATCCACAGTAATAAAACATTGTTGTCAAATGTCACTTTTTAAAATGACACTACAAAGGGACCGATAAAGTGTCCTCTAAGCTTTGGTTTATATGTTTTGATAGTTTATCTATTTGACTCAGAATTGAACATTAAATAAAGAAAAATACTTGTCTTCCTACCAAATTTTCATAGTGAAAAATTGTCCTGAATATGCATGGAATAATTGTAACTCAATGCTTAGCCAGCACCAATCAATCATGGTGAAATGTTTATAGCTACTTTGAATAAATGATTTGCTTCCACCACCAATTGACCAGCTAGTTTATTTCTTTTTCAGTGGATGAAGGTGCTGTGTTAGATGTACAGTTTGACCATTTTTATCACCAGCCTCCAGATGGGTTTGACAGCATAATGATAGAGCAGTCATTGTTGTGAAATACTCCACATTTTTAATGTGACCATGTGAATATAAAAAAGAAGATGTGTTTATTTCATAATACATTGAAAATGAAAATATATCTGCTATGGTAGAAATATTATAATTACTAAATTTTGATGTTTACAGCAAAATACATTGATGATATTTAGATAAAATCATTGATGATATTTACAATAAAATCAATTGACGATATTTACAATAAACTCAATCGATGGTATTTACAATAAAATCAATTGAAGATATTTACAATAAAATCATTGATGATATTTACAATAAAATCCACTATAGCCCATCAAAGCCAAACTTTTGAATTCTAAATATTGTTATGAGTAATAGGTGTAATAGCATGTTCAGTATTATATAATCTGTGTATTCAATTTTTATAGAATAAGCATTTCTTAATATTATCAAAGCTTGCTAAAAAAAATCTTAAATATGTAACTACAGCATCTTCTTAGATATAAATTTAACAGTTCCAACTGTTCTTTTTAATTTTTACAAAAAATCAACAAAAAGTAAAAAGATTTTCTATTCTAAAAAAACCTTCTCTTCATGTTTTATACTATGATATCAAAATCTGTCAATTTTTATCATCTTAAATTAGTGAATACATTAAAGGATGTTCGCTCCTGTTGGTTTTGAATTTTTGCCAGATATTCGGAACCCTCTGGTTTTATTCATGTAGTGCCATCAAAAACTTTGCCTGCCAACCCCTACTTTTCTTTTCATAATTTTATTACATGCAATTTTAAAAGCCATATATATATATATATATATATTTGAAAATCTTATAAAATCCTTGTTATTTTTTCATAGTTTTTAATAGAAGAAAGGTGCCTATGTTAAATGTATGAAAAGTCTCTAGAGAATCATTTCCCAACAAATTTTCAATGGCTTATATCTCGAAAACAAGCACATGGACCCTTCATTTTTTTCAGCTTTTTTAGTTCCTTTCTTTATATACTATCAATTCATAACAGTCTTTTAAAAAGCTTGTTATTTTGAAACAGAGTAGCAAACATCCTTCTTGTAATTTACTGAGAGTTTAAGGTTGTTTAAGGTATATTTGGCACTGTTCCACCAAAATGAAAATTGTATGGTTCAAATTGACAATACCTGTAACTGACAATAAAAGATTAAGCATAAATTAGATCACTCTGATTTAAATGCAGCTTTAAGAGTTTTGAATCCTGTCCACAGTGTAATGGAAATCTATGGCTGATGATAGTAGTGGGTATTATGTTTTCCACTCTTTGTATCTGCCTGTTGGTCGGATGCCTCAGGCATTAAGAACCCTTGCAACAAGTCTTTGAGGGGTCTGTAGGAGGTCTGTTACAAGGCAAAATTTCTGCTCAATCTAAGAATCCCCTATTGTAGAACCTACCTATTGTATTTATTGTTAATTGTTAATTTGTTCTCGTCCTGAACATGCATGAAATATTTGCCACTGAACGTAAAGAAAACAACAATTAATCAAGTAATGTTTATTTAAAAAGTACAATGGTGGCATCAAGCTCAGGAAAATTTTATTATTTTACCTTTCATTATTTATGTACAATTAGATAAAGATTTCAAGCTAAATGCTTATAGCTCAAATATCATAAAAATAGGCACTATTTTATACTGGTGATATTTAATGGCTATTAAAAATATTATGCTATTTAATTGCTGATCTGCATAAGTTAGAAAATTTTAGTGAAATAAACGTAATGTTTTGGGTTTCATCAGCGCAGTAAATGTGTGTTTTTTTAACTTGAGCACTGTTTCATTTTAAAGATAAAACTGAGAAATGAATATCATATAATTGCCCCTTTTAAATGTCGAAATCAGTTATTTAAAGATTTTTTTTTTTAGATCTCTTAGGATTGGCTATTATCAAAAGTACTTATTAAACTTACAGATTATAAGATCTTTTGATATGTTTAATACTCTTTCTGTTTTTCAGGAGAAAATTGTATTTTTGTATGCAAAAAGTATGGCATAAATACCATGACACTAATCATTTTGATTAAAATTTATGTATTATAGGTACAGATAATTATTTACAAAGATTAAGGTCCATAAGTGGTCTTTTCTAATTTGTTAGTGAATAGATAGTTTGGTTTGGTTATAAAAGGTGCAGAAGAAATTCTAGTCTAGTGTTTAAATTGAGATTCATCATATTCATCAATGTCAACTCTTACCAATGGAAGACTCCAAATATTATTTTAGTTTCAGTATGGGAAGGTCAAATCCCAAGATTTCTCCTTCCTTCATCATTATTTCATTTACATTTTATGTATTTATTTGTCCTGTAGAATAATTGACATACATGTTTTATCGTATGATTTCATTAATGATTTGATTCTTGATAGTACAGTTTTTCACCATTAGTAATCAAACTGGAAAAAGAAATCTAAATATTATAAAAAAATTACTTGAAAAAAATCTATGGACATATTTCTTCTTCCTGATTGACTACCAAAGAGGTCTGAAACATTGACACAGTATGTTATTATTAAGCATCCCAAGAATTTGCTATCAGTGATTAGAACATTATTTAGAAGTAACATTCTTCCATAATGTAAATACCTTGTTAGCATTAAAGGAGTAGGCCCAGTAAGACCCCTTTTTGGCCCCAAAATATAGCAGTTTTACAAATTGTTAAAATGTAAATTTTTAGCTTTTTATTGGAAAGAAGAATATGTCTGTAACATAAATATGGGCTGTTTTTGACAATACAATGCACATGTATCGGGTACTAGCATCATTAAGTCATGCTAAATTATTGAAATCTTTGAAATTTTAGCATTTTGGTTAATTTTTAGACGGTTTCCGTCTGAAATGGAAGTGGCCGCATTTGTGTTCATTCTTAATATTTAAATGTAAGTTGTATTTGATGATAATACATAACTTATATAAAGGTTGAGAATGAACATGGATGCGGCCACTTTCATTTTTGTCGAGCCTTCGACTTTTGTCGAAAAAGCGAGACATAGCGATCCTACATTCCGTCTGCGTCGGCGTCGTCGTCGTCGTCGTCGGCGGCGTCCACAAATATTCACTCTGTGGTTAAAGTTTTTGAAATTTTAATAACTTTCTTAAACTATCCTGGATTTCTACCAAACTTGGACAGAAGCTTGTTTATGATCATAAGATAGTATCCAGAAGTAAATTTTGTAAAAAAAAAAATCCATTTTTTCCGTATTTTACTTATAAATGGACTTAGTTTTTCTGCCAGGAAACATTACATTCACTCTGTGGTTAAAGTTTTTGAAATTTTAATAACTTTCTTAAACTATCCTGGATTTCTACCAAACTTGGAAAGAACCTTGTTTATGATCATCAGATAGTATCCAGAAGTAAATTTTGTAAAAAAAAAATCCATTTTTTCCGTATTTTACTTATAAATGGACTTAGTTTTTCTGCCAGTTAACATTACATTCACTCTGTGGTTAAAGTTTTTAAAATTTTAACAACTTTCTTCAACTATCCTGGATTTGTACCAAACTTGGACAGAAGCTTGTTTATGATCATAAGATAGTATCCAGAAGTAAATTTTGTAAAAAAAAAAATCCATTTTTTCCGTATTTTACTTATAAATGGACTTAGTTTTTCTGCCAGGAAACATTACATTCACTCTGTGGTTAAAGTTTTTGAAATTTTAATAACTTTCTTAAACTATCCTGGATTTCTACCAAACTTGGAAAGAACCTTGTTTATGATCATCAGATAGTATCCAGAAGTAAATTTTGTAAAAAAAAAAATCCATTTTTTCCGTATTTTACTTATAAATGGACTTAGTTTTTCTGCCAGTTAACATTACATTCACTCTGTGGTTAAAGTTTTTAAAATTTTAACAACTTTCTTCAACTATCCTGGATTTGTACCAAACTTGGACAGAAGCTTGTTTATGATCATAAGATAGTATCCGGAAGTAAATTTAAAAAAAAAAATCCAGTTTATCCGTATTTAACTTATAAATGGACTTAGTTTTTCTGCCAGTTTACATTACATTCACTCTGTGGTTAAAGTTTTTTTAAATTTTAACAACTTTCTTAAACTATCCTGGATTTGTACCAAACTTGGACAGAAGCTTGTTTATGATTAAAAGCTAGTATCTACAAGGAAAATTTGTTAAAATTTTGTTCCATTTTTTCTGTTTTTTACTTATAAATGGACTTTGTTTTTCTTCCAGTTAACATTACATACAGTCTGCAGTTTAAGTTTTTAAAACATTTATTAGATTCATAAACTATCCTGGATTTTTACCAAACTTGGACAGAAGCTACTTACAATCAAAAGATAGTATAGAGAGGAATATTTTTATTAATTTTTTTCCTCATTTTTGTTGAGCCTGCGATTAACAGCAAAAGTAGGCGAGACACTGGGTTCTGCGGAACCCTTACGAATTTTTGACAAAAACCATCTGAAAAGTGACATGTTATGGCATATTTGATAGATTTTTCATATTTAAGCTTGAATTTGATTGTCTTTAATGACTAAATCAGTTCAAATCTTTCACATAAACTAATTGAATCGACTGAAGTAGACACTTAAGTGTTTAAAAAGTGTCCAAAATCTTTCATCAAATGTACCTGAATTTTGAAGCCAAAATCAGCCCTTTAATACCGGACCTACTCCCTTCTGAATATTATTGCATGGTGATCAATTTTGACCTCCAGTTTTTAGAATATGGAAATATGTATGAATCTGTATAAGCCGATTGATCAAAATTCATCACCACAATCCTGGTCAGCACAGAAACACATGCATATTCCTATTTATTTACATATAAATGAAGGAACAATGTGTTACTGTAATAAGTTTTACATATTTTAATATTGATGTTTGAACATTTTTTAATTCATCTTGAACTAGCACGCAAAAATTTAGGCCACAACTTCTTTTTATCTTGTTCATTGTACTTGTAAACTTGTAACTTCACATCGTTACTCAAATATCTCATTTTTAAGATGTATACTATTTAGAATATTAGATGTCAAGACTTTAAACATAGGCTATTCTTTATTTATGCATCAGACATATATATAAAATGCATTTGTAATGGTCAAAAAGAATAATAGTTTACTTCTGAGTTACTTTTTGAATTATATTTCTCTGGCAAACAGGAAACACTCCAACTTTGAATAGGTTCCAGCACCCATAACAAATGAATTATATGCATGTCTGATAGGTCACACAAGTTGACTAAAAGTATAACTAATATAGAAATTCTTAAATTCTCTATAAATAGAATAGAAATGTGGAAAAAGTTAATGGCACAGGCAGTGGTTAGAAATAATTTAAATGATAAAATGTGCTATGACAGAATTTTCTATTTAAGGTTGTATACAGTGGTATTATGTCATGTTCGTTATATAAATTGTACAAAATTTGTTGATTTAATGCTAGTTGAGAACAATAAAAAAATATGTATATACACATAACATTTTCTCTAGTTATCGAGCCTGCGACTTTTGTCGCAAAAGCGAGACATAGCGATCCTACATTCCGTCGTCAGTGGTGGCGTCCACAAATATTCACTCTGTGGTTGAAGTTTTTGAAATTTTAATTACTTTCTTAAACTATCTCCTGGATTTCTACCAAACTTGGACAGAAGCTTGTTTATGATCATAAGATAGTATCCAGAAGTAAATTTTGTAAAAAAAAAAATGCTGATTATCCGTATTTTACTTATAAATGGACTTAGTTTTTCTGCCAGTTAACATTACATTCACTCTGTGGTTAAAGTTTTAAAAATTTTAATAACTTTCTTAAACTATCCTGGATTTGTACCAAACTTGGACAGAAGCTTGTTTATGATCAAAAGCTAGTATCTAGAAGGAAATTTTGTAAAAATTTGTTTCGTTTTTCCGTATATATTACTTATAAGTTGACTTAGTTTTTCTTCCAGTTAACATTACATACAGTTTGCAGTTAAAGTTTTTAAAACATTTATTAGATTCATAAACCATCCTGGATTTTTACCAAACTATTATGTGCATTCCCCTATCACATTGAAAACATAGACAACAGCAAAAGTAGGCGAGACACTGGGTTCCGCTGAATCCTTACAATTTTTTTTACATTTACATTACAAACTGTTCAAAACATTCTTGATGATGATTTTTATGGCGCCGCCACAAAGTGGTTGGCCCATAAAAAAGAATATGTTTGTTTGCCCTAACCCTACCTACCCAGAAAATAGCTGTCTACTCAAAATCTTTTATTGTCCTGATGTGAAAAAGTTTTTTTTTTAATCAGATAGGCATGACATCTGACACTGCAATTTCTCTTTGCCGAAAAAAAAAAGAAAATGCCTACCTACCTACCCACTGTCTCTACCTTCGGGTAGGGTTTGGGCAAACCAAAATATATTTAAGTGTGGCCTTGGGGCCATATAGTTATACCCTTATTCATCATTCCGTCATTCAGCAACAAACAGTTGTACAAACTTTTTTTTCTAAAAGCCTTCACATATTGAGCTGAGTTTTAGTATGGGAGTCTATTATGATGTCAGTTACAGAATGATTTTAAGTTTGGTTCCGCTCCGCTGAATTTTGCCGAAATAACAGGCTTTGGACTTTGAAAAATAACAGTTATATGGATTTTCATTCTCAAATTTCCACTCCTAAAAATGGCTTCAAGATTTTTTTGCGAACAGGCCATTCGTGTCATTCTGACACATCTAGTTTTGAAAAACTTTTTTTTAATTTTCATGAATAAAACTAAGGATTTATTGTTTATTGGTGTTTCAGTGTCTCTTCCTTTATGAAGGTTTACACAGGTGTGTCGCTGGAAAGGTTCCCTTTTTTTATGTCAAATGTATCAATGGGTTGCAATGTCATCAAGGTAAAATGCCAATAAGTCAGTAATTTTCATCTTTCGGCTAAATTTTTGTATAAATGCTGTTAGATTATTAGATGTCAAAAGTTGTATGTGATAACTGAGAAATATATGAATGGGATATGATTTTTATGGGTCCAGATTTTCACAAGATCTCAATATATACACCTCTGTACCCAAAATCCCATGTTGAGACCCCCTCCTGTGCGGTGTCTTAGCTCTTCTCAGCGGGAATACG